GTACATATGTAAATCGGAAATCGAAAAACATTGTTACATGGCGGGATTCGAACCCAGGACTTGCAGATTGCAAGTCAAGTGCTTGACCCCTGAGCCACCGACGCTCACCTCATATGAGTTTATATTTTTTCTATACAAAAGAGGGTACTGTTTTTCGCGTATGTGTAAACCTAAATAGATCGAAATTGATAACTGATATTTAATTTCATTCGAATTCCTTATCGTGTTTTGTTTATCTCATATTTAGTTGTCGCATTCGACTCCGTCCGCGCGGAATTTAAAAAAAAACTTAATAAGTAACCTATGTGTTCTTCCAGACTATTTTCTATATCTGTGCCAAATTTCATCATCCATTGAGCAGCTCCGCAGGTCCCTTTTAACGAGCATCGATCTAAACTTTCGCATTTATAATATTAGTAAGATAAGATCTAAAAGTAATTAAAAAGGAATGAAAATATAAATCTTCGTAAAATCAGAACACTTACATCACTAATTGCCCTTACTTATGAACATTTTTATTAAGTATGCATAATATAAACTAATTGCAGTCCGCGACATCGTCCGCGCGGAATTAAAGAAAACATAATTAGTAGACGTCAATAGCCTAATTGGTTAAGGGCACGGATTTCCTATCACGAGGTCGGGGATGCGGATTCCGCGATTCAACTATTGTCGTAAACCATATCCTAACACAAGTTTAGAGCTTAGTTGGAATGGTAAAAGAAATATTAGTAAATTTGCAAAAAAATCTGCCAAAATTTTAATACAAAAAAAACTGTGTTATTTCAGACTATGTTTCTACATTTATGCCAGATTTAATCGAAATCGGTTCTGAAGTTACGTTTATTTATGTAACCTATTCCTCACATAAAAGAACATTTAAAATGTTACATTGGTTAAGAAGTAAAACGTTGTTACGACTTATCATTGGTTTCCGAGACCAAATTAAACTACTTATCCAAGATAATGAGAGGGAGAACGATACCTTCACAGGAATTGTGGTCTCAGAAAACAACGATTAAATCGTTATCAAATCAAATTAATTTATTTTTCTAAATATATTCATATACAATTTGCAATAAATAACAGCTTGTTGTTAAGCTTTTTTATTTTTATATTCAAATTATACGTAAGCACAACGGTAGTAACTAAACCATCACTTACCTACATAAAATTCCAGGTTACAATTTTCACTCTAGCATCCGGTATAAAAACTCGATCGTAATCGATTATTCGTCAACTCGGTAACTCGATATAATCGTTAGTTTGGCAATTGATCCACATTACAGCAGGTTCCATTCGATACATCGATTGGGGACAATCGATTAATTGATGTAACGTGTACACATTAATTTCGATAAAATTTATTACACAAATTAGAGTGACCGATCAACGCGTCATTAATTTTAACTAGACCACTTATAGACGTTTTGTAATCAGGGTGTGGTCAGTTTATGATTTGACGGAATAGAAACTCGAAATTTCATTAAAGATATCTTAGTAATATTATAAATGCGAATAGTTGGATGGATGTTTGTTTGAAGGTATCTCTAGAACGACTGCATATATATCGCTGATATTTGGATAATGGGCTACTGAAGATTTTTTCAATTCCGCGTAGACGAAGTCACGGGCGAAAGCTAGTTAAAACATAAATAAAAGTATTCACATTTTTAATTCCATTCCTTGTATTATTACTTCTCAAAAATATTATGTTACAATTTTTTTAACTTTGAAGCAGAGTGATAATATTTTTCCTGCCATTTCTTGTAACCGTCAGGTTCGTCCAATTTTTTTTTAATTGTTCAATAAATATATCATCTTTGTATAACAATCCTATAGGAATACGAACTCCGCATTGAACTGGTTCTTGTTAAAGATTCGGAACTAATGAACTTTTAAAAGAATAGCAATCATAGAAAATGCGTCTATAAATCGAATAGACGAAGAACAATCATCATATTCCAACAGATTGACGACTGAACAATTCTATAATAACTAGGGCTGTGACTATATATATATATTTGGGTATGGATATCCGTGTAATTCGGAGTGGATTGTTTGAAAACATCCCACTGGATGTGTTTTGTTTTTCGTCTTCGTTCACCAAGGAATAACAAAAGTGTCTTCTTTTATCATAAGATACGCAAACAAGCGAGCGGCCACCAGAAATCGCTGGAATAACGAAGGAACTGTTACCCATAGACATACAAAATTGCATATGCATTGCCCACCTTTAATCGACGGAGGAGGGGATTCGTAGAGAGATAATATTGTCCCTTCCCATGCATCCTCTCATCTGGGCAACCCATCCACTTCTAATCCTTTCCTTATAAGAAACTAGCTGTCGCCCGCAACTCCGTCCTCGTGGATATATTATTAAAAAAACTTAATTAGTGTAGCCCACCCACCCATCCGTCCATCTAAACATTCGCATTTATAATATTAGTAAGTTAAATAAAAAGCAACTCTTTACGGCATAAATTCGAAAAAAAATAAGTAAATAGTATCCTATGTCCGTCTCCTGGCTCTAAGCTACCTCCTCACCAATTTTCAGGCATATCGGTAAAGCCATTCTTGAGTTATAGTGTAACTAACATGACTTTCTTTTATATATAGATAAGGATTGGAAGAAAAGAAGATTAAAATTAGGCCTCCGGAACGTGATTTTATTGTCAGCCAGTATTCGTTTTTTTTATGTTGGCAGCCCTATTTCTAACACGTGCCTAATTATTAAGTCGATACAAGTGATCAACTCAAACGTCAACGTCACAGATAACTATCCGATATAAAAAAGTCAATTTCCCCATACAAATTACACTATTGTATTATAACAAATTAAGATACAGTTAACGAGTATGTAATAAAAGAGAGCGTCGGCTCTGAGGTTAATTACACTATGTAAATGCGATACAGACTTACTGTAATGTTACATTATGGTGGATGGCACGCGAACTCCGAATTAGAATCTATGGTTATTTTAATTTGATTCCTTTTTATTAAAAATGTAATTCAGTTTAATAGATTTTTTTCTACAAATTATAGTATGTCTTCAAATAACTTGTATCGAAATGGCAACACAAATTCTTTTCTTATTCGTAATATTGTTAAGAACTTAAAGTTTTTATTAATTTCTTGATGTATGATTCTTTAACACACACCTGGTGGGTTAGACAAAGTGCTTTCGCTACGAAGCGATTACAAAACGAACTTCAAACATGTATAGAACTGACAATAACTTACGATATGTCACGTGATTGTCGCGCCTCAGTTTCAGACAATATTGAAGTTCGTTATGGAATCGCTTCAAAGCGAATGCACTTTGCCTATGCCCGCTGGTACTAATCGACGATAATCGCCCACATAATGTAACTTAAAGTTAAAGCGACAGAACAAATTTTTCCAACATATGTCGCATCTGTGTTCCAGTTAATCTAATCTTGCTTTAATCTAATATAATCTGTGACAGGAGCGGCTGGGTGGCGGCGGGCTGGGCCTGGGCGGCGGCGGGTTCCGCGGCGGCGCGCAGCCCTCGTTGGCGGACTTTCAGCCGCCATACTTCCCGCCACCCTTCGCCCCAGCCGCGCACCCCGCGCACTCCTCACACCCTGCTCACCCCGCACACCCCGCCAGTCCGCACCACCAGCAACAGGTGTTAATCAATTGTCTCATCTTTTAAAGCTTTACAACCAAAAATTACATATTTGTGTATCTATTGCAAGGCAACCTAAGGCACTACACCAATCTTAAATGGAATTGCCAAGGCTTCTGTTGGTAGAGCACTTTTCTACATCAATCAATAATAGAAGCATCTTAAACTTACAAGCCAACCCATTGCCGTGGCAACATACTAACGTAGTGTTCACGATTTGCTTGTAATTGCCATCGAGTTATTTCAATGTGAACATCTTCTAAAATTAAACATTGTTATAGAGCCATGGAATGGATTACGGCGGCGGTGGGGGCGGGGAGTATGGCCAACATTACGCGCCGCAGCAACTTCTGCCGCGACATCACTCGCATCACGAGACTCACGCCCATCTCAGACACCACAGGGACCACCATGACATACACTCGCATCACGTAAGTATACTTATAAAAGAACGCAAAATAATTCACCCAAAGAGAGCTTACGTATCCCTTTAAGGAATCTAATTCCATAATAAAATAATTTTGATTTGATTTTTGACGACCAGATGTTTCATTTCGTTCTATTCACTAGTGTTAGGAAGAAAAACCGATATTGTGCCTGTGTACTGGCGCAACACTAGCCTTATTAAATGTCAACATTTATGTCCCCTCACTAATCATTCTGACACTTGACTTTGTAATGAAAGGGCGCCGTTAGCGCCAAATGATTTTAAGTAATATTTTCTAACACTAGTAGTATATAAATTACAATATTTTAACAAGACATTCTTATAGAAGTTCGATATTATGTCGATGTATAGTCGATAAATTTAATAACATAATTATTGGAATATGTTTCGGAGGATCTTGGGAAGTATTCGAAGACCGTTGGGGCGCATTCTCTGGTCGAGGGGCACGGATCGTTGCAGAGTTTTGATTATAAATCGCATATCGTATTACACAGATACAAATATTTTGATATTAATTATATCACCATGGTTTAGTTTTAATATCTTTATTTCCTCAACTGATTTTATTTTTAAAAAGGTAAACGATATTTTTCTTGTCAAAATAGATTTTAACATTTTAAATATTTACCTAAGCGTCAAAGAAAACTACGCAATATCAAATAATTTTAATAATAATATTTGAAAACAAAAGTAATTACTTCTAGGCCGATTTATTAATTTTATTTTTTTTTAAAAACATTTTCTTAATTTACCATCCTACCTATTTTGTATTATCTGTGGTAATACTCGACCATATCAATTCATTTTCTAAAGCTTCTTTATTAATTTGATATCTGACATTTAACAATGCCGTTTCAAAAATGTATGTTATGAAGAAAATATACGTTCATTTTTATATCAACAAAAGGTTATGAACGAAAAGTCCACTTTAATAGATTAGCTGCTCAACGTTCCGGTTTCCGAACGGTACAATGCGCTTTTGGCGGGAAACTGGATGTCATTTTGTGATTAAATGTCAAATGAAAAAATTATATTTACGATTTTATTTTTTGTTATTCATAGTTTGTTTTATTACTTAAATTGTTAAATAAATTAGATATGTTACTTTTTTAATATAATTTTAAAGAATACGTTTAATTGTCGGTAAGGGCGTCACTTAGTGTTAATTTAGTTTAACTTGTCATAACCCATTTGTTGACCATTACTACTTCGTATCTTTTTATATCTCAAGCCCGCCAAATCCACTTAATTTTTTATCTACTTATTTTTTAAGGAAAGGATGGGAATGGGGAAGACGACTAAAATTTAGCGTCCAGCAAGCGCACCCCTTAACGAAACGCGGAGTTACATTCACGTCGTTCTATGTGGTCATGGTATTCCACCGGCTATTAGTACTCCAGCAGATTCTACATGTAGTTTCTACTAATGTTAATCTTAACAATAATTGTTTTATTTGTACAGTTATCACACGGAGGCTTTGGATACGGTGGCGGTGAACGACGAGCGGATTACGGCGCAAGGGAACAACACGAACTGGCCTTACATCATGCGTTACACTCCACAGATGAAACACAGGTAATCCATAACCTTTTAAAAATAAATTTAAGCATATAGAATTCAATGAAAATGAGATATAACCTATCTATAATTAGGGTCTATAGTTAAACAGATATAATGAAGACATGTTTTTATGAATTTAAACACTGAAACGTTCCAGAATCCATAAACAATGAATGATATTGTAAATTAGTGAAATATGTATTAAAAAAATTTATTTTTTTCTTTTCTATTGAATTCGATCACACGTCTTGTTAAAGATTTTGTTAACATCAGCTCACTAAACGTCCCTACTAAGGGGTTTGGAGCCTAACCTAACTCAGTGACTAGGCCATAGTAAACCACGCTGGAACTGAGGAGAGAACAAAACAAAAAATGATATCTCCTCTGTCGTATCTATCTACTTTTTCCATGCTATTTTAGAAAAGAGAAGAGAAAAAGATCTTGTATTAGGCCCTAATGTTGTATATTTTCTTGGTCAATTATTATGCCACCAGAAAAAAGAGAGTTTGATGCGCCCCCATTAAAGTGTATTTGACTTAGGGGAGGCAACATGGGTCATCATCAATTTTGAATTATATCGTGAAATTTTTTCTATATTCATTTCATTCATCATCATCTCACTATACGTCCCCACCGAAGGGCTCGGAGCATACCCTAAGTTAGGGGTGATTAGGCCATAGTCAACCACGCTGGCCAAGTGCGAGTTGGTTGACTTCACACATATCTTTGAATTTCTTCTCAGATATGTGCAGCATCACGATGTTTTCCTTCACCGTAAGAATGTCGGATATATGTAAATCGGAAATCGAAAAATACATTGGTACATGGCGGGATTCGAACCCAGGACCTGCAGATTGCAAGTCAAGTGCTTGACCACTGAGCCACCGATGATCTTTTCTATATATTTAAGATATTTAGTAGACAATATCATCGAAATATTTCAGCTACCCTCGTACGGAATTTAATAACCTATGTAAATTAAAATGGCCGATCGAACGCGTCCTCAATATGGAATATCTGTTTTTCTTTTACATTCTTCATTTATTATTTATTAAAAATAACAATATAATGATAATAATATGGGATGGTATTTAATTTGTTTTTTTTTTCAGAACGCCGGCATGGATGATACGACGGGCTTCATGACGGATTTACCGTTATTAAAAAGTTAGTACATTAACATCTTCATAATGAAATGTATTTAAGACTAGCTTTATTGACACTATAGTCATCTCTTTCTCTTTCATTGAAAGACAGAGACAAAAATATGTTAGTACAAGAGCCAATGCATTCGAAATATTACGCGCATTAAATCGGTAATACATTTTTTTTTAATTATTTTTGCCAACAAAATATTCACATGACTTTACGGAGCTTCATCCCTTTTTATACTCTTTGAAAAAACAGAGACAAAAATATGTTAGTACAAGAGCCAATGCATTCGAAATATTACGCGCATTAAATCGGTAATACATTTTTTTTTTAATTATTTTTGTTATCAAAATATTCACATATTACGGAGCTGCCCTCTTCTCCATTTGCGTGGAATTAAAAAAAATAGTTGGCTGTCTTATTCCAGACTATGTTCTACATCTATGCCAAATTTCAGTGAGATACGTTTAGTCGTCTAGAAAATGCCTAGTAATAAACTTTTGCATTTATATTATAATGTCTGGAAAATTTCTTATTATGTCATAACTTTGAATAGTTGAATGGAATCTTAATAAAATACTTTATTAGTAGCTTACAGTAAATTTTTAAAACGGAAACCCAGTGCGGTGTGTGCAAAGAGATCTTCTAAGTTTCTGTCGACTCATACAAAAATCTAGTACGGATAGCAAAAAACGGTACAAAATTTTCTTATATTCCTGCCATAAGTAACAAATGAATCAAGTCTAATCATTCCTTATGATAAAAAAAAAAACTTTCATAGTTCTTTAAAATATAACAGTAAAGAGAGTTTGGGCCTCAGTAATCTGGATGATCTCAGTAACTTGGTAATCTCGAATATATATAATTTCGAAAAAAAAAAAATTACTTCAAACATGTCTCAGTACAAATCTTTGTCTAGAGTCGAAATATTTGCTACTGGCCAATAGCTTTATCCAATGTGTAGTCGAATATAACCATTGAGTGTGTAACTACTTGTATTATGTATTGTTATCTCTTTCGTTCTCTTAGAAAAAACAGAGACAAGAATATTTGTATATGCCAGTGTCGCAACATTGGAATATTGTTTTGTTTGTTTGCTGACCGTACGCGATGTTCCAAATTCAAACCGCACGAACGCTCCGATAAGTACATGTTATTAACTTATCAAATATTTTTATTGTTAGTCCCATATCGATGACCCGGCGTAGATAAGCCCAGTAATTAGGCCCCGCACCGAACTTATCTCATAGGTGTATCGATTATTCTAAGTAGATTGTAAAGGCCCATCTCATTCAACGGCCGAATGAATCGATATCAAACGAATAAAACGAACGATCAATCATTCTAAATTCAAATTGTGTATTCGAATTTGGAAATGAGAATCGTTAGACCATTTTTGCTAGCCAGTAGCATAATTTTGTTTTGAAATTAATCACGTGATAACCCATTTATTTAACGTACTAGACTTTTCGTGCAAAATTAAAAAAAATATTATAATAGCCTATGTGCTAGAACTATTTTCTACATCAATGCTAAATTTCAGCAAAATCCCTTTATCTGTTCTGGAGATATCTTCTAACAAACATCCATCTAAACTTTCGCATTTATATAATAATATTAGTAAGTTTTGGCACAATCTTGGAAAACATACATTCATTTTTCTTCTTAAATCCCCGTCCGTTTTCTTATGCTATAGATTAAAAAAAATTATTCCAAATTCAAATTATAATTGGCCGCTAATAATTTTTTTATAAAAGCTACACATGGTGTGAAATAAGCATGGTGCCGTACTAATGACACGGTAATGTTTATTGTATTAGGGTTGCCATATAGAAATATTACAATTTGAAAAGAGATCACGCTGAGCGCATGTTTGGGGCGTGGCGGTGATTGTTAGTGTTGCCATTGTTGATATTTGAAGCCGGCTATTTTGTAATCACACGCATACCGAACGAATATAGATTGACTTGACTTTTTGTTATTAATAAAAAAAAATGGAATGGAATACTGTAGACGTACCCGAATGGTAACGGTTCGCAAAAAAAAAACAATTACGTCAGAATTATTTTTAATCTTGTATATTTAAATTATAAATATAATATCTGTCAGACTTTTTTTAAGCTAATTAAGTACAAAATAAAACGACTTGAAAATCTCGTTCTAAAAGATCCTACACTGTAAGTTACTATAGAAATAACAAAAAAAAATACTTTTTAAACACTAACCTCTATGGACAGGCTATAAGCTATTGTATTTTGTGCCTATTTGATTTTCGCCATTTTAGTACAGACAGTAGAGGCTAGTAGTAATGATGAGTATCCAAGTGCGATAGAAATAACTGTCAAGTGTAAGTGTTTTAAACGTGTTTACATTGTTTTAGCGATGAAAGGTCGCGACGGTCTCGGTGGCAGTGGGTCGTGTGCGCCTAACGACGTGTTCTGTTCAGTTCCGGGTCGACTGTCACTTCTCTCCTCCACCAGCAAGTATAAGGTGACGGTAGCCGAAGTACAAAGAAGACTATCACCACCCGAATGTCTTAATGCGTCTTTATTAGGCGGCGTACTGAGGCGGTAAGTATTTTAACTAAATTCTGATATTTATTTTTAGCAATAGGTTACACACAAGACCAGGGAAAGACAGGCGTCTAGCGGAAGTAATAAAAACATGTGTGACTAAGACCTTATGTTTGTACTCTATCTGATGTGTTTTTATTATAAAGATAGAATAGGAAGGGGAAGTGGATTTGCCAAAGAAGTGGACATATTGGAAGGGGAAATATTTTCTTTCGGTACATCTACTCCTTCGTCGATTAAAGATAAGCAACACAAGGAATTGTGGATGTCGTGGCTGCTTGCTCGTTGGCAACCTTATAATATAAAAAAAAAACATAACATAAGGGTTAAGATGCGTGGGGATTTTTCGACAAATCATAAAGCTTCGATTCCAAATTCAAAAAACAAACAACGGTATCTTTACCTCATAACCATCGATGCGAATCATACGTCGAATAATCGATAATCGAAATCGAATGGCAATACAAATCGAGTATTCGATATCTCGCTCATTAGTTCTTAGCAATGTGTAGATTCATTCGATTTAGTTTTCCATTGATTCTAAATTTATCATTGTCTGTCTCGTTAGTTGAGAATAGTTTCTATTATCATTGGTTAAGCGAACGTGTGAAAATAATCGACACAGATTAAATAAAATATTTATGTATTTTTAATGCGAGAATAGACACAATAGCTGATATAGTACAGTATTTTTGTTCTTAAGATGCAGGAAAATTAATTATCTATATACTATTGGTTAGAAGATTTGTATTATTTTAGATTTGTAACGAATAAACTTAAAATTTACTGCACTAATATCAAAGATTGGCTGTATTTAATACTTTTATTAAAAAACTAAATGGCCACCGAGACTCCGTACGGGTATTAAAAAAATAATAATAAGCAGACTATGTTTTACATATATGACAAATTTCAGCGAGATCGATGCAGCAATTCTGGAGATACGTAATAACAAACGTCCATCCATCCATCTAAAATACAATATTACAATTAGTAAGATTTAAAAAGTTACGTTGAGATAAATTCATAAGCAAATGTCGTAATTTCATTTGCAAGCTTCCAATCTTTTTTTTTTAATTCAATCAATCAACGTAACCGACAACCTTCACTTTATAGAGAAAACTCATCGTCAAACGAAAGAAATTTATCGAAAACAATTTCGTTAACGAGCCTTCATTTTGTCGGTTAATACTGGTAGCCTATTTCGGAGCCTACCCTGTTATTACCAACTTATTTTTAGGCATTTATAATTTAAATCCATTACAAATTTAACTTTATTACAATGTGTTAAAGATAATAATCCATTTTTCGATTACATTTGAATTTGTTTTCTTTCAACTTTCTATGCGTCAATCATGAATTACGGTTTTGACGGTAATCGATAGGTTATCTGTGGCTCGATCTAGCGGTCGGTAGCAGCACTACCGCTTGCCGGCATGCGACCTGTCAGAATTCTATGAGCTATGATTTTTTTTTGTCCATCTCAAAGTACGAAGCAATGTTACATGACGTACAGACATTGAAAAAATATATAATATTATATGTACGATTTCCAAGAAGTTTGTCGACGTCTTAGTTTTATTTCTTATTATAATAAGTTAATAAAAAATATTGCGTCAGGTTACGTAATAAGTATGAAATTATAATTAGGAACCAATGAATTGTTTTCCTAAATAGTGTTCAAAACCCATAAATTATTATCTATTAAAATATTAAAATTCTATATAAACTTCTTAATAAAACAATTTTAAAATTAAAAACTATGCATTAGGAATAATAATTTAACGTTTAGTCAATAAAAGAATCTTATTATTCCTGCTACAAAAAAAAATAGCTGTCAAAATATTGTCAACCGTTGCGCGGCAATTTAATCTTAAATTTTTAAATGTATTCTTCGGTCAGTTACTCGTTACATTAAATGATGGATCCAAATTAGATTCATTGTGATATTTTTTATATTCATTCTTTTTTTGATGTGAGGAAAAACGTTATTACAAAACGGTATTTATAGGTTATGTTTATTATGTCATTCATGAACGATAATTAATTTCTAGTTGCTTCTGATCTTGTGCACAGATTAATAATTATTTTTCTTTTTCTAATTACCTTAATGGCTTTTTATTGCTGCCAGGGCGAAAAGTAAAAATGGTGGCAGATTACTTCGTGAGAAACTAGAAAAGATTGGCCTCAACTTACCAGCTGGGAGACGGAAAGCTGCAAATGTTACTTTACTGACGTCTCTTGTTGAAGGTAAATACCAAAGATATACACACCGCGCGGAATTAAAAAATTAATAAGCATCCTATGTGTTCTTCCAGACTATGTTCTACATCTATTCCAAATTCCAACATCCATCCATCCATATTTATAATATAAGTAACATTATAGAAATAGCTACAAAAAGTAAGAAACGCACTAATGGCTAAGACAGGCGTAAAATGGAAGCAATTCCGCGTACAGTCTGATAAGTATGTCAGCCGCGATCTAAGTGTTTCATTGTCTTCCGTAGTCCAAACAATCTTTCGATGCATTTTTCCGCAGTTTTTAATAAATTCTGTCGGTCTTCTAGCTCCTTACTTAATTTTACTAGTATAGTATTGTTATATCTGTGGTTTTAGCCATGGCTAGACGTACTAAAGTAGTAATATTTCCAGCGGAAGCGGTACACTTAGCGAGAGATTTCGGCTACGTGTGCGAGACGGAGTTCCCGGCGCGCGCACTCGCGGAGTACTTGGCGCGGCAGTACGCTGAGCACGACGCGAGGAGACGACGGGATCTGCTGCAAGCGACTAAACAGGTAATACTAACATTTTTTGACAGACCTTATTTCTTCTAATATGTAGACATTGGTATGAAATAAGACATGCTTAACTTGCCCTTGCCCGTCAGCACAGAATAAAAAAAATAATCAGTAGTCTATGTTTTCTTCCAGACTGTGTTCTATATCTATTTCAAATTCTATTAATATCAGTTGAACCGATCTGGAGATATCTAATAAACATACATCCATCCAAACGTTGCCATTTATAATATTAGTAAGATTTTCTAACACTACAGAATAGTTGACTCTTTATATTCAGTACCAGTCCATTAAATATATAACATCTTTATCTACTGACTCGAAGGACCAAAAGGACGTTTTAAGTAGTATGTGTATTGTTACATAGGTGACGAAGGAGCTGATGGACCTGCTGAACCAGGACAGGTCTCCGCTGTGCAACACGCGGCCGCCGCACCTGCTGGAGCCGGCCGTGCAGCGTCACCTCACACACTTCTCTCTCATCTCGCACGGATTCGGCGGACCCGCCATTGTCGCCGCCCTCACAGCTATACAGGTACAATCTACATCAATATTTACACCAGAGATTATTATTTTTTTGTTTTTCTCATCGTGTCAATTGCAGATGTCTATGGGCAGTGGTCGGTTCACAATTAAGACTGAATCTGATGGTCGCCCTTTTTAAACTGCTATTGGTTTCAACTTGTGAACTCTAAACTTTATTTTCCTTGACAATCTTTTAGACAAAATCTACTTTCCTTTTAGAAAAATATCCTTTATCTTCCATCTTCGTACAATGCTTCTCTGATTACCGAAGTTTAGCAATCAGTTCATTATTTTGTCTTTCTCTAGTGTAGAGTGAAGTAGATACGTGGGCGGAATTCGAAATTCCAGTCCATGTCCTAATATTTATGTTTCTTGGTGTTTTGATATTCAAAAAAATATTATCTTAGTTTGTCTACGTAAAAACATACCGTCGTTAAGCTTAGTCCTTAGTTAATTTAATCCTACAGATCAGGTATTTTAAAAATGGAATTATAAGTTTTTTTTTGTTCCAGAACTTTTTAAATGAATCACTGAAGCACTTAGACAAATTATATCCTCAAAGTGGCATGGTGTCATCGTCTATGGACAAAACTAAAATGGATCCCGACATCAAAAAGTAACACAAGAACAAATATGGCGTATTCAGTGTGACACACGAACGCGCCTTCCCAATGACTATGGACTTCCCTTCGAAAATGTTGCCAGTGTATAAAATTATTTTTTGAGGGATTAAAAAAATATAATAATAAAGAAGTACATTAAAGTTACAATTTCGACAGTTGAAAAAAATATATTTACTACAAAAATTATTCAAAGTTGGTTAGTAATTGAAAAAACAAACAAAGCTATTGCTAATGCTTAAGAAATCTCATCAAATTATAATCTGTACCTTTACCAAACTTCAAATTATCCAAGATTAAAAATAATTTTTATTATTACGTGAGAAAAAAAATCATGAAAGGAATGTTACTTTAAAATCAAATTAATTAAACTTAATTTGTTCTAATCTGTAATGTCACATCACCATTTTATAATCGTAGGTTTTCATTGACGAGACACTTTTAAAAATATATTGTCTCTGGTTTATCACAGATAATTTAATGGATGACATGACAAAAAATCTTCGATAAAATATTAAAGGGTCATTTCTTACTTTTATTATCAACCATTAATTAATACATACATAACCAATTTTTATAGAAAACTGCCATTATCTGGACCTTATGTGATATACGAATATGCGTATTTATTTTTATGACGATAAGCCGCTTACTGTGTCCTTCCATTGTCGAAACACTTATAAAAAAACGTACTGTCATCTCACTCATTGTCTTTGAAAACTATAGACAACATTATGTTTTTATACAAATGTTAAGGCAATGGAATTTCAGGGTTTCAAAAAGTGCAATTATAATACTCAAGATTGTGAAAATATTGTACATATAGAATTACGAGCAACAATAGTATTATTTAAGCATTTACTATTTTAAAATGTAACAGTCATATTGATTTCAAAAATGGAGGACCATAGACAAGATAATAAGATGTCAAATAAAGTCTTAGAATTTTTTTTTAATTTAAACCACGATATTAACCACAGAGATATTTAAATTAAAATAAAAAAGTGAGTTTGCAATACTGTTAGAATATTATATGTAATGTTTTCTAGAAATATCATTTAAAATCTTTCAAGTTAAGTTACTTAAGTCTGAGTAAATTTCTACAACGCACGAGTCGTACAAATTTAAAGTTAGATTTAAAGGTAAAAGAATATTTCTTGTAATCAAACTGACTCGATCTATTTGTGTCTAACCGTCCATCTATAAAAATCTGAATAACGGAAAAAATATAGCATTTTTTTATAAATTCCACTATCTATGGTCCTTCGTTTATTACAAAGCAATAGTATCTGGTGACTAGACAAGAAACATATCAAATATTATGTGTAAATATTATATTAATAATAGTTTTTTTTCATCTTCATTATGCGAATTTAAGTATATGATAAATGTTTCGAACCTCTTTAGTTTGTAATTATTAGGTTATAGTTTTGCTAGTGAATGTGAAAGTGTGCCAATTAGTTATATAAAAAGCATCGTTGAAGATTCTTAAGTATTTAATATTTATTCTTAATACGACCTGTGTATATAAGAAAAAATTACATTCCAATTATCCTTTGTAAGTTGTATATGTCCTTGTTTTTTTTTTCAAAATTAAAACTATATTAGACAGTGATGGAGTAATGGATCTTAACATTATTCGTCGAAAATCAATTAAAAAATATTTTTATAATCCTAATCATATCAGAATATAGTTTAAATCAGTGAGAAACAACGATGGTTAAAATTATGTTAGAGGAATGTAAATCGGTGTATGATTTGTAACTTGTATTAATTAAATGATAAATGAAATTATCATTGAATTTTGTTTTGAGGAGTAAATGAATAATGTTATAAAGAGCTGGAAATTAATTTATTGAACCAATCCCAAGTTTATGTTATTTTAAATTATAAGACTTATTTTATCTATTGAAGAAAACAAAAATTTTTACTCTGTGCATAAATAATTTTGTCTCTGGTAAAACCAAACCTGTCATTGTCAAATGTCATCGCAAAACTTGAAATGTTACCGCGCGCGTTTCTTTAATTATTTGTGTATTTAAAATGGAAATAGATGAGTCTCCTAGAACGAATATCAAGTGTTTTAAAAGCCATGTGAAGTGTCTGGGACCTTTAAATATCGATTACAATGCATCCAGCACGACGTTCATACTGTGGAATAAGTACGAAATGTACGTATACGAAAATTTAAAATTTGAATGTGCGTCGAATATAATAATGCCCGAATTTCATATCTTTCATCTTATATCGTCTAATAATTTCATAGTCTGCTTAGATTTCGAAGGAAACATACACTTAACGTCTATGAAATTTAAGCAGTCTGCACCAAAGCGATTAAAAACGATCTTTTTACATAAAGAAAAATGTATTCTGAGTTGTACACTATACACTTCTCAAAAACTAATAAGTTTGAAATTGGAATGTAACACGTATTATCTGTGCATAAACAATTTAAATTCGGAATTTGATTTGGAAAAGAAAATTAAGTTGACACTGCCTAATGAAAACAGCCAGCCATTACAAGAGGAATTAAAATCGTATATTTTAAAGTCTTACAAATTATATAAACAATACGATAATTTAAATAGAGTTTTCAATATAGATGGAGATGTATCTAAGGATTATAATTTAATTATTATTAGTTTTGACAGAAGAGTTTTATATGGATGTGTTATTTCACTAAAAATGCAAGTAAATGAAATAGCGTTACAAAACCTTCTTAGTGCTCCAACAAGTATTAGTGATGTAAAAGTGATTGAAGACCTTGAGTATATATTAATAAGTTTAGAATCAGGTACATTTATAAGATTATTACTGGCAGATTTAAATAAAAATGATATTGTTCATTTAAATAAAAACATTTCGAAATGTGTACCATACAATGAATGTATAATATACACAGATGGTATAACAATGTGGAAATCAAATAATACATTTAAACAAGATATAAATTTCCAACAATTTCATATAAATCAAATTAAAGATTTTATATGTTTCGGTGATCAAATCCTATGTACGACATTTACGAATTTAATATATTTATTTACTATTGATAATGAAATATTTATAAAATCGTCATCTGAATATTGTGATGCTAAGAAAATTCTCAATGATGATACAGGATGTGTTTATAAAATATTAGAAGAAATTGAACGAAATTATAAGTTAGAAGAGAAGATTAAAGAGGAATGTAACTATATAACATCTTTATCATTATCTAATCGTCCTGATATACTAGATAGTGTTATTACATATTCAATCATCCTTTATAATACTTATGAAGATATTTTAAAAGAATCTATAGATTTGACATTAACGGAAAAAGTTGAAAGTTATTTCTCAAACAATATATTTTGCTTATTAATAAAAATCAAAGTAACATTTGAAAAACATAAAATTAATGCATTATTAGAAGTATTAAGAGATTTACAAATACATATGACATTGTTATCATCAAATAAAGTGATAAAAACTACATCTGTGAGGGTAGTTGAAGAATTAAAAAATATAAATTTGCTAATTCCGTTGAACGGTAAAAATGTCACATTGGTTACAACTAATATTAAAATATTAAAAAGAATACCAGGAATGCAGAAGAATGAAGAATTATTGATAATTATGCATGAGAAAGAAATAATTTTAAATGCAGAGCATTTTATAAAATCTTATATAATGAAACAAAATATAACTCGATTAAAGGAGATTGAGAATTCAATTGAAGAAATAATCAATGAAATTGCTTATAAATCCAGTAAACATTTATTTAAATTCACTATTGATAAAACACAATCAAATGAATTTTCATTTTATATGAAATTGCCAAATAATTATATAGATGCATTTAAAAATGAAAGTTACTTAAAAAATATATTTAGTACAGAAAAAGCATTAAAGATACTAAAGGAAAATACCTCGGAAGATTTTTTAAATGGGAGAAACAATAAAATATTTGAGATTGGTAACAGTAAAGTTAAAGTTAACATTATAAATGATGAATTTACTAATAACTCATTGAAAGTTACTTGTGATGATATGAAAATAGGTTTTGATGTAAGGAATTTTTACTGCAACTTGGCCTATGACAACTTCACTAAACATGAACCTGGCAGAGAATTTGTCAGACATACTTTATATACTACAATTGAGGTCAGTACTATTTCTTTTCATTCTAAATATGAATTAATTACTAAGCCAAATAGTGCCAGTATCCAGGCAAGCAGTGGAACCACACAACAACCGTGAACAAGCAATTGCAGTTTTTGTCTATTGAATGTTTGTGCCAGAGGCCTAATTTTACTCCATTTTCTCTTCCTACCTATTGTAAAGGATAGAAAGGGCAAGTGGATTTGATGGAGTGGATGTATAGGAAGGGGAAATGTTCTGTGTCCCTTCCATCAATTAAGGCAGACAAGACCCGTTCGCTATTTCGGCGAATTCTGCTCATTTTCTTTGAACTAAAAGTTTTTTTTTTTCAGAATATCCAAAAAGGTGTAAGACGGTGCATCTCCGATGGTACTGAAGATAATCTTAAGTCTCTATTAGAACAGCTTCAAAGCTATGTGTATGCAGCAATGCCATTATAAAAAATCTTGGATACACACTTTCGAGAAACTGTGTCTTCCCGTCATTCTCCTTGTAAAAAATAAAGTGTTTTGTCTGTTGGTAACTAGTCTATGGAAAGAAAAATAAAAGATGTGTAGAATATAATTAAACTCTATTTATTATTAGACCATTCTCCTCAGGAGGTCATTGATCTTGTCCTCGCGGTTGCCGAAGTCCCCGCCGTCGACGTAGTGGATGGTCTTCTTGCGCCAGCCTCCGGTCGGGTTGTTCAGCTTGAACGGCCATAGGAAGTTGCTCGCGTACTAAAAACAAGAAATAATGTAATTAATCTTACTAATATTATAAATACGAATGTTTAGATGGATGGATGTTTGTTAAAAGGTATCTTTGGAAAGGTTGAACAGATTTCGATGAAATTTGACATATGGAACATAGTCCGGAAGAACACAGACTACTTTTAAAGTTTAATTTAATCCCGCACTTACGGAGTCACGGGTGCCAGCTAGTATGATTTATAGAGTAAAACAATTGAGGGAATCACTTGTTGATTGGGACAAGATTTTATGTCAATACAAACTAGCCCGGTAATCCATTAGGAGTAAGGTATCTACTAACTACCATTGTAACACGAGAATTTGACATATAAACAAGACATAAAAAAAATGTATATTTATTCATGTACATCATTAAAAATTTTGGGCAATATGAAAATTTTGTAAGATTTTCTTAATAACTACTGGCTTAGACTAAAAAACCTTAAAATAAAATACCAGCAAATAATTTTGTGTAAATAAAGCTCACCTTGAACTTCTCTCCGACAGTAAAGATTTCATGGATTAAGTCCTCAATACAGATGATGTTGCTCTTGCCGAGTTTGTCCTCAATGATCTTGTTGGAGGTGATAGGCATGCGCTGACCCTTCACCTTCGCGAAACCACGTTTGTAGATTAACTGCAAAAAATATTTTTAATTATAGGACAACTTATTGATTTGTGACCTGCAACAATGCTTTCTTAATACTTGAAATGTAATATTTGGTTTGATTTAAAATTATAAGCAGACCAATTGAAGATACTTTTTTTATAGATAAATGTGTCTGAGTGCTAGGAAAGTTGATCCAGCATACACCTGGTCACCATAGGGGCACACAATTTACTCTGCGCTCTTTGAGTCCACACAGACATTTGGTCTGAGAGATTCGTGCAGAGCGAAAATCAGAAAAATAAACATTGTAGTCCAAAACAAGCCCTAAAGTAATCTTACATATATTATAAATGCGAATGTTTAGATGGATGTTTATTTGAAGGTATCTCCGGAACGGCTGAAGGAATCACAATGAAATTTGGCATAGATGTAGAACATAGTCTGGAAGAACACATAGGCTACTTATTGTGTTTGTTTCTAAGTCCGCCACGGAGTCGCGGGCCACCGCTAGTACCGGATATAAAAATGCTTAACTGGCAGCACTTTTAATAATTAATACATAACCTGTAACTTGAAGGTAACTTAACAGTACTCTGTAATGCATAAAATCGATATCTAATGATGACATTCAAAACACCCTAAAGGTAGGTTATTATCTCACCTCCCGCACACTCTTGAGATTGGGGTATCCCCAAGTGATGTACGGCTCCGCGATACGCAGCATGTTGACGGTGGCCTTGTTCAGACGGACAAACACACCATTGTTGATTTGACGCAATCTGAACAGCTGCAGCACTTTGCGTACCTAAATAAAGACAATAATAATTGTACAAACAATAAGATTTAAATCAAATTGTATATGGACCAGAGCCTTATTGTGCCTGCTTAGTTTTCAAATAGAAAAAATCAAGGAGAGTTAACAAAACATGTTATTGAAAAAATATTTTTATTTTTAAACTTTATCTTACAAGTTCTAAAAACCACTGGAGCTTACTTTTTAACACAAAGTTTTTGTCATGTCAAGGTGATTGGACATGCACAAACTTATTTGACATGCTTAGTAAACTCGGCACTGTGTCTACTAAAATGACAGTTTTAGGAAATATAAATAAAAGAAGTAATGTTATGTCTGAGTGCTAGGAAAGTTGATCCAGCATACACCTGGTCACCATAGGGGCACACAATTTACTCTGCGCTCTTTGAGTCTACACAGACATTTGGGCTGAGAGATTCGTGCAGAGCGCAAAACTACCATAAATAATTCTATCTACAAACTATTAAAGTTAAAAATAACAATTTTTCAACTTACCTTGGGTGAAACCTGGTTGATACCACGGATACGGATGACAAAGGCAAGCTTGGCCTCACCGGGAACATAATAGTTTCCACGGTTGCGAGCCTATAAAAAAAAAGGATAAAACAAATTATTAGGATTTATCAATTTAAAATACTTTTATTATGTAAAAGTAGGGTATTTGCTATTCTCCAATAATCTTACTAATATGATACATGCATGTATGGATGTTTGTCAGAAGGTATCTCCAGAACGGCTGCATAGATCTCACTGAAAGTTGCCATAGATGTTGAATATAGTCTGGAAGAACACATAGGTTACTAACTTAGTTTTTTTACATCCGCACAGACGAAGGCGAGACCTAGAGTGTCGTTTTAAATGGTAAAACAAACTCACTTGTCTGGCTAGCCTGATCTCATCACGTTCCCTGATGCGGTACTCCTTTACATACTGCTCGGCCCTCTTGAAGATCTCCTGCTTCTTCTTGATGGCTACTGAACGCCTCTTAAGTGTAACCTAGAAATTACCAATAGTGTAACCAAGGATTAAGTATCAAGTAGTTAAACATTTTATGGATAAATATAGGAGATAGTATCAGATATTTTTAGTAACAGCATTTTAATCAGATGAACTATGCCTTTAAAATGTTGTATCATCATAAAATTAATAAAATGTAATTTTTATAGTAGCAGAAAATGGTCAAGGCCACCTGATATTATTAAATTAATGTCATTAAACAACATCACCAAAAACATTGTGATTATTTGAAAGTTAATAGCGGAATATTTATCTAGTTTCAGTCGTTGTAGCCATATCCTCATAGTGAGTTTTGAGGTTTCTAAGACCTAAATCTCTGTATAAAACGTATCATCATCCCTGTCGTTTATTTTGACAAAACAGAGATAACAATATGTTTGAAAAGGGGATACTAGTCTTGGAAACCTAAAATTTGTCAGTAACTCTGGTTCATGTAATTTTAGTACATAAGATAAAACTTACTGCAATACGGCGTGTGCGGAGTGCATCTCTCCTTTTACGGTGTTTTAAGACAGACTCAGGTACGGCGGGAAGCTTTTTGCTGCCCTCCTTGCCCTTTACAGGCTCCTTTTCAGTCTTCTTCTTTTCTGTTACCGCAACCATTGTGCTGAAATATAAAATAGTAGTTGTAGCATTATAAAACATAATATTCGTAATGCTAGCGCTAACACGTATTATGTGTGAATCAATAATTTAAATCAAATAATTGATGAATATTACTAGAAAAAAAAAACTTGTGCTATGGGTGGACACAAGAGATATCGTATTTATTTTGTTTTACCTAATTTAACAGTACTAATGCATTTAATTTCGGTATTACCGACAATGAAGTGCACGGGGTATCGCATTTTTATTTTTATAGGTTATGATTGTGACAATTGTATTGTAAATATAAAAAAATTACAATAGTTTCTATCTCGGATTGGAGAGTTAAGGGCCACAAATAAATTAAATGAAATCGAATTAGGTAATTAAAAATGAAATTGGAACATGGAAAAATAACGATGCAGTCAAAACCGTGAGCGCCATTCCTCCGATGAACACAATATTTTTAGGTTATATTAACCATACATTCATAATTTGTAATGATTTCATCCAAAATTAAATAATTTAAAAACATAAGTTTGAAGAAAATAGACCTAATTTGTTATAAACAGACGTCTAACACGCTAATAATTAGTCAATACAGCAGCACGCCGTGCACTTTTTTTCGGTCACAATTCAGATATATTTCACAGGTACACATATAGAATACAGTGTTCTGGTCACTAATTTGGTTTCCCTTTTAATATTCGTATTTATTTAGCACTTAAAAGTAATAAAATTATTAATATTTAACAACCTGCGAGGCAAAACTCCACGCGGCACGTGTGTCAAATTATCAAAAGAACGACAAAGGACATAGACTTCCGCTATTCGCCATTTTTAAATATTTTCCACTAGCAACACAAGTGTAAAAAATTAAGTTTTTATACAATTTCAATCCAAAACTTTTTAATTCCAACAGGAATTTTAAAATCAAAATAAAATGCGGAATTTAAAGTTAAAGAAATAAAATATTAAATATAAATATGTCGTTTTATCACAAGCACTTTTTAAAAACAGTCGTGATAGTAACGAATTTTGTTATTAAAAAAAATAAAATCAAAGCAATTTATGTGCCATTTTTTTCAATCTTTCGATTCTTAAATAAGATTTCCTAATTTTCGAAATGGCCGAAAACGCCCAGCTAAGTGCTTTGGAGGTCGGAGAATTAGATTTATTCGTGGACAGTATGGAACCTACCGAAATCGAAAATATTGGAAATTCGGCGTAATTTTTGTTTTTAATTTAATTTATGATCTACTTAAATTAACCGTAAACACTATCCAATACTTTTCTATCACTATCCTTTTTCCTGTTGCAGCTGGATTGACTGGCATACAAGATTGCAGAAATTAAACCAACAAGCTGTATTGGAAGCGTCATCCATGATGGAAGAAGCTACAAAAGAGACCCTGATTTCTCACGGCAAGGTATTTAAAAATATGTCCGCTGACATAAACAAGAAAGACTGTAATAAATTTCACCACTTCTTTACCTTTAAACCTTTAATAATGTGTTCCTCAGTTACCTGTACTTGTACACGAGGCCATTTGTATTCAAGTGTGGCGGTTAAAGATATATCCACAAATGATGAAATTGGAGCCAGCACCGGCTAGTACATTCGGAATATACATGGTGGTGAGTTAGTACATTATATTTTGGAGCTGAAGAAAAAATTACATTGACTATTACAGACATAAAAAATATTACTACTTGGTCGTCGTTATGCAAAATTGAGTAGACTGTTAACTACTAATCACATCGGCTCTCAGTTATATCACGAGGCAGCAGCAATTGGTCTTTTGGAGACCGTCCTATTTCACGAAGACGGAGTTCAGTGCATCAGCGATGTTATTATAGATTTGCTACAGTATGCTACAGAACAACTAACTTCATTAATTGCGCTTCTCAAGTAAGTACCTTTCGTTCAAAGTACTCAGTCATAACGTAAAGTATTTGCATTACATTGTTCTTTTTCTTAGCGACGGTTACTTGAAGCCAATGTCAGGTCAGGAAATGGACAGCGAAACGGTGTTAGAAGAGCTCGAGAGACAGAAAAGAGATCTGCAATTTGATATAAGTATGCGATGCATTTCCATTGTTAGGTAAGGCACTATTTTTTTATATTAAATCCGGATTGTCCCAACTATATTAAACTTTTGGCTAACATCTTCTTCTAATAAAACATCGTCGTAAATCGAATTTTAGATATCTGGCTGAGCATATGGAGGCAGCCGGTTCAGGCGTGTCCATTGCGACCAATCTGTACAAAACCAACGACGTACCTTCAATCCTATGTCACTTACTACAGTTGGAACCCTGGAAGAAGATCAACGATAAAGGCGATCTTCAAGTATTTAATTGTGAGAAACTTTTATGCTTAATATTCGAAAGAAATCTCGTAAACTTTCTTAGCAGAGTTATGGTACAAACAACTTAAGGAACCTCTAATTCTAATTATTTTTATGTAGATGGACGTTGGTCGAAACCAAATGTGGACGACTTAACGCAAATGCATCGAAGCGAAGCGCAGCTCTGGCTGTGCTTGCGACAACTACTTTTGGAACCACGACTCCGCCATTTCTACGTCATTGATGAGGTCCGACGCACGGCATTTTGTCGCGTATGTATACGGTAGCAACTATTCAGTTATGAAAAAATCTAAAAACCTGTATAATACGTACGATTAACAGTATGTTTCTCTTATTATAACAGTTGCAAGGTAAAATGACAGAAGAAAAGATAGATCAAATACCACCATTAGGGGAACTGAAAACATTCCTTTGCCAAATGGCAATGGGTGACTATTCCAGTTTGCATAATCGCGGGAACGGTGTCAAAGCTCCTGGCTGTACGGTCATCGAAGTTGTGCCACAGGTATAACAGAAAAAAAAAGTGAAGAAACAATTGTTTTCTTATTATTTTTAATTAAATTATTTCATCAATTTTATACCGCAAGTTTGTCTAGCGCTACATTCAAATTGAAGATTCCAACGGTTATTTAACGGCTAATGGAGAGGTTATCAAACACAAATAACTAGGAAAACTTTTTAGTGATACATTTTATCGTTTTTTTTTGCAAATAGACAAAAAATATTTAATTTTAGATAAAAAATGCTTACCTACGTCAAGTGCACAAGAGGAAGAAGACGCTTGCGGCCAATCAATTAAAAAATTGTTTTGTCGATGGTTCTGATGAATCTCGTCGAATGGCCAAAAAACTACTGGATTCTTATACCAGCGATGCCGCTCTTGCGTTGGACAGCGGCGGTGCGAAGTGCGCTAAATGCGGAGATAAAGCCAGCAAGAAATGTTCACGATGCAAGTCTGAATGGTATTGCGGAAGGTAAATAATTCCACATTTTAGTCTGGCAACACTAATGTTACCAGATTCGGGAAATGTTGCCATACTAGAAAATTGTATCTGCTTAAATTGTTTTTTTTTTCAGGGAATGCCAAGTGCAGCAATGGCCGAAACATAGGGATATTTGCGATCAGTTTGCCAAACTGCATGTGTCCGTTTAATTCTTTTTAATAAGTTGATACAAGATTTGTCTTGACGTGTTAGTAATAAAAACAACTCAATAAATAAAATAGGGTTGTCAAAACAATTCTGTTATTACTTACTTACAAACTAATTATAATTTATTGTTTTAATGGTATAATAAAACATGATAAAAAATATTTTTTTGGTTTTTTATTAAGATACCGTAACACCTAAAGATTAGCTTGAAGACTTGAGGTAGTCTTTAAGCACATCCAGCGCTGGGGTCTCCTCACCAAAATCCTATGAAAAAAAAAATTACATTAACATTGAATACATTAAAACTAAACATGATTAAATTATCGAAACCGCTAAAGGTTTGCAATCTCTGCCTACCTCTCTGGGTTAAAAGTATGATATTTTATCCAAACTATTATTCATCATCAGCTCACTATACATCCCCATCGAGGGGCTCGGAGCCTACCCTAAGTTGAGGGTGATTACCTTATTAAGGCTGTAATATGTGTATTATTCCGTTTTTCAAAGAGGGTGTAATAAAGATGACTATGGTTTTCATTTTCATTAAAAGAAATCTATACTACGAGGAAACCACTATTCCAAAAGTAATAAATTTACCAGCTTTTTCAACAAAATCATCACAAATTAACAATAAGACTATTTTTTTACACCGTAAGAGAAATTGTTTGTCTCATGCCTACAAGACAAAACGCACAGATGGACAACCCACAACATGGGAGACATTATTTCAAAATTAACTGAACAGTGCTATTGGAGAAAGAAAACGAGGAAAGTTGACTGAAGTAAATAGAACCAGGTTAAGGACTGAAGAATATGAGCAATTGTTTGAGTGATAGGAAAGTTGCTCACACAAGTCGTGTTGCACCATAGGGTCACATAATTTCTATAGCGCTGAATTTATGTACAAATAAACCTACATAGTTTAGTGTACGTGCTGAGCGCAAATACTACGCAATAACGATAACATGAGACGAAGAATAGCATAGAATAGCAACAAACTTTGTTGATTGCATTATAAAATATCAATTTTAATGCTTTGATAACAATGATCAAATGCTTGACATATAAATTCGAATCTGGATTTGCAAGTCAAGGGACCATTATTATTTTCTTATGGAGATAGTATGTTTTACCAAGTTACACTGTAGTTACAATTGCGGCCGCACTCAAGAACATATAATGGTCACACAATCCCTTTGATGTAGATATCTTTTATTGAATATATTCTAAAAAGTTTCATTATGGTAAAATCTCGTAAACTTACTTTGATGACAACACATGAGCAGCCAACAATCTTCCTTGCTTTGCCGTCCTTGTCAATTTTGCATAAACCAGCCCATTCACCAAGCTTTTTGTTGTTGTCAACCTGGGAAAAGTTATTACATAAATCTTCAGTTGCAAAAATCATCCACATACAAACATGTCTTAAGATATCCATTATTTCTAGCATGGCTAAGAAAAATCTTAAAATTAATTACATTCGAGTTATTTGTCCGAGTGCTAGGAAAGTTGATCCAGCATACACCTGGTCACCATAGGGGCACACATTTTACTCTGCGCTCTTGGAGTCCACACAGACATTTGGTCTGAGAGATTCGTGCAGAGCGCAATATTAATTATATTGTCAATGTTAATATAAAAACATTTGACTTTAGATCATAGGCAATAGTTCCCTACATGGAAGTAAACTTGAAAATAATTTTTTAGGTCATCAAAACTGAATCCAATCAAAGACTATTATTCTGTATAGTTTGTCTATTTGAGATTGAATAGTTAAACAAATCTGTGTCTATAAAATATCAAATTATGTTTATCTGAGAATAAATGTTGTATTTAATGGACATTTTTTTGGTGTTGGACTGTGTGTGAATAACATTTTTTTAAAACTAATCATCCTTAAATAGACACACTATAGACACTGCAACACCATATTACATTAAAGTCAGTTTCCACTGCAAAACATATGATATAAAATAAAGTTAAGTGTTAGAGAGTTTCCCCTCCCATATAAATCATGTGTTTTCTGTACTAAAATTAGTTTTTGAATTATCTATAGCTTGTTAGATTGACTTTACCTTGACAAGTGGGATCTGGTGCTCATTGCAGAGGGCTTGAACAAGCTTCTTGTATGCCGCCTCATCACAGTTCTCAGCCAACACGCAAAGGACAGCTTGCCTCCTAGTGTGCGGAAATTATTGATTTAATAAATGGAAAAACAAATAGTTCTTTCTTAGTTTACATGTTAACTAAATAAAAATGGATAATGTCATTCCTTTCAAAAAGTCATTCTCTCATCAAAAGTTACATTTATTTTCCTTAAGATTATTAACCACCCTTAAGTACCTAAATATTTGAAAAGATCACATTTGGTATTTACTATAGACTAAAAGTTGTAAAGTTTGTAACTAGCTTTATATATAACTAGCTGTCGCCTGCGACTGTCCGCACAAGATGAAATCTTAATAAGTAGCCAAATTTCAACAAGATCAATGCAGCTGTTCTGAAGATATCTAATAACAAACATCCATCCATCTAAATATTCACATTTATATTAGTAACATTATACATTTTAAATATGTTAACTGTAGCATACTTGGGAGGCCACAAGTTCGAAGAATCGAGCACTGTGGTACTATGTATATGCGTTAATTTTGGCAATAAATTTGATCCAACATAGGACAACTATGTTTGATATTTCCACAAGAAATGTGACTAGAACAGCCACATATCATGTGAATATTATGGTAGCTCTATTGCCATTAATTTATCCCTCAAATTATTTTTCCTAAGTAGATAAAAATATTGCTTGTTTTTTAGTCGGGAACTATGCAACATTTAACCCTATAGTACAATGCCACTTTACTTAATAACTTTCGCAAAATAATAAAAAATTAAAAAGCATACTGTAAGCCATATACATAATTTGATGTTCCTTTGATTTCATTAATAACAAATTTATGTAAAACGAGATATTGTGCCAATATAGCAATTATTTGTTATTTAGTTTACTTACCTTATAAGGTAATAAACTTTTAAGTAGCATAAATATACAAAAACATACTTGTCGAGGGCTTTAGCAGCCTCATGAAGACCATGTACAAGACCTCCGTGGATGAGGGCTGTCTTCAGAACTTCTTGAAGGGCTGTGTTTACATCCATAGCACCCCCACTGAGGACTGGGTTCACTGGCACTTCACTGAAAGGATTTCATGTATAGTTGATACCAATAATATAGCATTATAATTAAACGATGGAGAGACATAACGAAGACATGTATAGGTTATGTTGACAATATTTATAGACAACTTACATCCAAAAAAAGATAATATGTCATGTAATGATTAATTGCTAATGTATATTTACTTAATTTGTATGATATTACGTCTTTTCAATTCAAATTTATTAAGAAAAACAATAACACTTACACTTCGACATCAGCCATGGTTTTTTATTATGTTTGGTCCTGAAATATGAAACAAAACGAATTGAGCAATACGTCGATTTCCCATTTTAAATAGTATTAATAATTTATTCTTAAAGATCACTGAAATAATAACAGATTTTGAAAATAACTTTACAAACACTTTGACACTTTACCTTGCGTACCGGAAAAAGACTAGAACCAGAGAGTGTAGAGAATTGGCACTGTCATCTGTCATGTCAAAAAAGTCAAAATTATTCGGACGACCATAAATAAAATAATCGAATAATCGATTTCTTTCACCATTTTCTACATACTACCGCCAAGTTTAAAACTTATTCTCGGAAGTTATATAAGTATATAATGAACCGCTTAAGTACCTTAAGGCAAGCGCTACTTTGCTTTGAATATGCCAGACAGGAAAGAATGATTAGAAAAAAGTTATACGTAAAATAAGTAACCACGGACCATCCCCCGAATATTTATCGGAAAAATAACGATGATATTTGTATATTGTTATCTATTTTTCAATGAAAACAAGAGAAAGCACGTCAAAGTCAATTTTGAAAGCTTTCAAAATTATTTTCTAATTTTTGTTTTGATTTACTTTTGTGTGATTAAATCGTAGTGTAATTTGTTGCATAATTAATAACGTAACATTAATTATGTGTTTACCCTTAAGATCTTAGGAAACTTTCAATAATGACACAACACACTGATATATTATATATGTCGGAATATATAAAAAATACATTATATTTCGCAATTACAAGGCCTGGTAAAGTTTTTAAAAGCACGTCGGAAACATATTTCTTATGTATTGATAATGAGCTAGTTTACGAAAACTATTTCTCAGACTTTGGCCCGGTGAACCTAGGTTGTATTTACAAATATTGTAAATTATTGAATGAGAAGCTTGAAAAATGTAGGGATAGTCAATTTGTTGTGCATTATACATCTTGTGACCCTAAGAAGAGTACGAATGCTGCTTTTTTGATGGGTTGTTTTGGAGTTGTGTATTTGAACCTGCGACCCAAGGAGGCGTTGAAACCGTTATTACTCCAAGGCTATAGTTATCGGTGAGTTCATTAATTTCTGAAGACTTTTCAGACTCCATTCTTTTAGTACTAAAAGGAATAATAGCAAGGAAAAACATAGACTATTTTCAATTGTGGATTTTTTTAAGAACAAACAAATGTTATCTATAAGTTGCATTGTTATTTAACAGACCATTTCAAGATGCAACTCCGGGCGATTCGGCTTATACGATATCTCTATTGGATTGTCTCCAAGCGATGGATAAAGCACGAGAGTTAGGCTTTTACGATTTCCAAGATTTCAATTATGAAGACTATGTCGCATTGGATAAAATAGAAGGAGGTGACCTAAACTGGATTATACCTGGTTAGATTTTTAATTAGATTTATGTTATTAAAAGATATTTCTTTTTTTACCTATTAATTTTTTAATCTCTTTCAGGAAAATTTCTCGCTTTCATAGGCCCTGTTGACACAAAGGCTCCTATATACCATCGTCCTGAAGAATACATAAGCTATTTTAAAGAAAATAATGTTAATGTCGTTATTAGACTGAATAAAAAAATGTATGATGGAAATATGTAAGTATTTTCATAGTACAGTAAGGCAAACGAATGAGCGGTCACTTTATTTCGCTAAAAACTTAGTGATTTGCCCATAAACATCTGTAGTAAGTCAGAGGGTTTCAAAGATCGATAACAAATCTTCCCATCCGTACTTCGTATTCGTTGCTCCATGTCTAAATGTGATGTTATATTTTCAGATTCATTAGTGCTGGCATACTTCATTACGATTTATTTTTTCTCGATGGCTCTTGTCCACCGAAGAATATATGTTTAAAATTTCTCCGAATTAGCGAGACTAGTGTTGGTGCTATTGCCGTTCATTGCAAGGTTAAGAATTTAAATAACATTTAGTTTAGCTATTACGATATTTTTTTAAGGTATTTATTAAATTAATCATAAACCTTTGCTACCTGGTTGTGGTGTAAAGTACATTTGTGATCCGTAAAATAAATATTAATGTTTTATTGAATATTTGTAATCATGAAGCAATTGTTCAGGCAGGTTTAGGGCGCACTGGCTCTTTAATCGGTTGTTACTTGATCAAGCATTATCGTATGACCTCTCACGAAGCTATTGGCTGGATGAGAATATGTAGACCAGGATCAGTAATCGGGCAACAACAGGTTAATACGTTTTTCTATTTTCGACTAAACCGTAATGTGTAGGATGTCTCGATTTTGGTCGTAAAAAGATGAAGAACGGATTAAAAACTAAGAACAATTTATATTCTTGTAGTAATTGGCAGTGATTAGTTCTACTAGTCTTTAGTTTCTTTATAACTAACATAAAACGATAATTTTCAAGTTGAAAGTTATTTAAAATTTAACAGATTTAAATTAGAAAATGTTGTTTTCACGTTTAGGTAGTTTTAATTTTGTTTAACATTATTATTGGAACAGGAATGGTTGGAAAAACTTGAGCCGTGGCTGATAAAACAAGGGAATTTGTATAGGTAAGCATTTGCTTACACTTCTTAAATACCAAAAAGTACTAAACCATAAACATTGAACGAAAAAGTTGCAATATTGTCTATGGGCGTCTGTAAATTGAAATGCCCCGTCGTAGTGTTACCAGATAAAGAGGATCTCAAATTAGTAACATTACTTTTTAATTTCAATTTTTATGGTACGGTCAAGTAAAGGAAAATTAATTTATTATTCCTTAAAGTTGAATATATTGTTACACGCAGCAGTATAATAACATTAACAAAGTTTGTATCAGGAAAAGGGTTCACGGAGATTTTGACAAGCTGCCAGAACACAAATATGGCTTGTATTCTATTACTGAAAAGGCTGTCAAGTGCCGGCCAGTTTTATTTCATAAGTCACCATCTCCACCGCCTCCAGTGCAAAGACAAAACCGAGTTGATGGAGCCACACATTCTAGACCACAAGCTTCAAAGATAATAAGAAAAGGAAATGCAGGTATATAAATTAAAGCCTGCAAATGACTTATAGTTTTAAAATTTGTTTAATACTTTTTATTTCCCAACCGTAACGCACTGCCAGTTGCTATTATTTGTACAAGTAAACAGTGTTATTTTGAATTGTTTTCATTCTTATTAAATATGCTGAATCTTTATCAATTTTTTTCTTTTATTATTCAGACGTGTTCGAAACTGAAACCGAGGAGAAATTCCTAGCCTCGTGTGATTTAACTCTTTCGGGCAATGAGCCATTGTGCCGTAGGAAAGGATGTATTATTAAAAATAGCACTGTTTTCGACCAAAGTGACGAATTAGAGCAACAGCCGGAAACATTGAATAGGCCGAAATGGAAGAAAGTCCTATCATGTTGTTCGTGGCCAGATATTTGTAATGAAATACGATGGAAATTGACAGTGCGTTGCGTGAAATTGACACCAAAATTCTGTGATGGTACAAATAAATGGTGTATTCTTATTGATAAGGTTGGTAACTTATCTAAGATAAAATTATCTACATACAAGTTGAGTAATTTGCTTTTTAATAATATATTTATAAATTAGAAACATTTTTGTCACAGTTACTGTTGCGCCTGTCGAAAAGGACCAATATATTTGGCGAGTAAGATCACCCTATAAGAGCTATGGTCAAAGGAGTGCAAAAACGGAGTACGTATTACAAACATAGTTTACAAATATATATAGTAAAATATGATAATTGTATGATTTTTTTGTTGAAACTAATAGCGATCAAAGTGAAACTAAGTCACGTCGTACTTCTGGTTCCGGAGAACCTAGACCCCGTTTGGTGTCACAAGATTGTACAATGTCTCCTCTCATCAAAAGGACTGTTCCTACCAGTCAAGTATGAATTTTAATTTTACACAAAAACAGATGCTTTACACCTCACGCGAAAGAGGTTTAATTTAATATAATTTCAGGATTTTAATAAAATGCCAAGTGGATTTACAACTATCCCCACATTTTGTACCACTCAGGGCCCTATCGTTAAAACGATTACCGAAGCCAAGGTAAGTCTTAAATAAACTTCATTAGGCCTATGCCTTAACCCTTAACTCATCGCAATAGCAGTTTTAATAAACAAATTGTCGGCACAAGAAAAAAAAAATGTCATTAAGTTAATGTTTCACAAAATAAAATTCGTATATAAAATGTAAGCCATTGTCTGATTGAGTCGTTTTATGAATACTTTTGTAAAAACTATTTTAAACCAAAATCTTAATTTTTAGGAGTTTCTAATGCGATCTAGTGCATGTCGAGAAAATTGTGGTTTCATTCCTACTCATGAACCATCAAAGGATCCTTATAAAAAAAGAAATGATCAATACGACTACCTTGCTTATAGAAATCCTAGTCGAAATATACCACCATCGTATACTAGCACAGGTTTTTAAATTTTTTCTTGCCTTTCATGAAGTATGCAGTAGGCAGAATATAGCAATTTCATTTCCATGTTTCTTAAAGTTGGAAGAGACTCGCAATCACACTACCGACGTCGTCTCGGCCGCAGTCCTAGTCCGATTCCGCCTCGGTTAGCACTAGAACAGTCTCGTGCCACTAATACATTGTCGGTGAAAGAAGTTGCGGTTAAAAAGGCTTCTTCAAAGATTGCAATTCGTGACGCGTTATCAAGACTGAAATGTAAGTTATTTATATGCATATTTCTAAGTAGTTTCTAGTGCAATGTAGTGCATTATCTAACAAAAGTAAATCTTACTAATACTACATTTTTTTAAATCCGCACGGGCGGAGTCGCGGTCGACAGCTAGGATTAAATAAAAACTCGAAGTATCAGTTTTTTTTCGGTTGAAATAGTACTTTTATATCTATAATACTGGCAATAAGTTAAAAGTTTCAAATTTGGAAAAACGAATGTCATTGTCATGTGTCAACTGTCACATGAAATCTAACCTAACAATGGTTTGAAAATATACACTTTTAAGTAATAAAACAGTAATGTTTTACGTTTTAACTTAAATTGTATTAACCTAAAATAATCGACTAACGCCACCCGAGATGGGTGCTTTAGTGACAAAAGCGTTAAGACCTATAAAGACATTTAATGTGGAGAATCGTGCACATAAAGTTATTTCGAAGGAAAAACCTACACCGGCGCCACTCTATCCGTCTACAAAGGAAGATTTAAAACGTACATTAGCAGCGGTACCCGACATAGATGAAAAACTAGATAAAAAAGACCCAGGGCTTGATGACAGATTGAAATCCGTTTATGTAACATCTTATGGCCGTCCCGAGGATGACATTACGAGAGAAAAAATCCAGCAAAATCCAAACCGACCGCTACCGAAGAACAGATCACAAGTTCCAGAATTCGAAATGGGTTGGAATGAACCGGAAGAAGTGCCTTATGGACGTACAACTTTACGAAAAGCCTTAGAGTTTATTGAATCGCATCAGATGAATCCCACAGAGGTCACAGCATCGAAGATAGCTTTAGAATATAAACTGAAAGGGGAAGATGTTGAAGCAATATTAAAATACTTTAAAGCATATGAAATTTATATTCCGGAAACAAAGAAATCTGCGGCAAGATTTGCTGGTCCCACTAATTATAGAAGAAAGCAGCTCCAAGAAAACAAAATTAAAGAATTAGCTGGTGAAAGTGAAATTATTGACGAGAAACATGATATTCCAGTTAAAGACCAAGCAAAAAATAACTAGTAAATTAATGAAATATGTAACTAATATATGAAAGTTCAAATAAAGTAAAGTCAAACCTAGATAAGTGAGAAATCTTGATAAAGGAGTGTCGTCCAGTCTCAACTGAGACCTCCATAAGTGAGAATCGGGTTAGAAAGAAAACATAATGGTCCCTTGGACTCTAGCATCCAGGTTTTGACTATTTATGTTGGGTGTTTATGATTAGTTAATTTTGCTTATTTTGAAATTTTAACAATGTATTAAATAAAATTATGTTTATTTCTGAATGTAGTTACAATAAGCTATGTAGGTAATGTAGTGAATCAACATCTGTGATGTTAATATAAATTCTGAAATTGAGTTTTCACTGTAGTAACAAATGTAAAAAAACATGTCACACTTTTATTATCTTTGAAAAGCACAAAGTTCAATGGAATTGAGTAAATGTTACAAGTTATGAAACATTTTTCAAGATGATGTGTGTCAACTATAACAGCATTATAAAGATATATTTGGTATAATTTGTCATTTTGATTAATTTCACTATACAATGTATTGGCGAAAATTTAAATTCAAGTATTACAGAAAATTACACATATGTTTATGAATTTGACTTTTTCAATTGCTAAATAAAAAACCTTATGACTTCCAATGTTTATAAAATATACTTGTTTAATTATTTATAAACAATAAAAATATGAAATATCCAAAAGTGGGTTGTTGTTAATAGGTTAATTCTATGTAGTTAATTTAGTTACCAAGAAAGTAGTAAAGAAGAGTTTAAATGGTAATAAATGGTTTTGTTATAAAAATTCTTTTATTTATAATTGTATTTAGATGTGGCATAAACCAAAGAGAAGTTCGTAGAGAAAGTAGATGGAATACGAATTAAAAAAAACACTTACCAATTCTTCGTCAAACACTTTTTAGACTTTAGAATCAACACAAACCGGCATTATTTTCAAAACTATCTCTTTTACAATATGATTATAAGAGTTTTCAAAAATCTGACGTTTCATTATTTTTGGCGGTAACAGTGACAGCTCCGCGCTATGGTTCGACGGGGGCTGGGTCTGTGGGCGCAGCGTCGCTGGGGGCGCGGCGTGTCGCGCCTTCCGGTAAGCGCGCGCCCAGCACGCGGTCCGATGAACGGAATACAGCCACACAAGGCGATGTACTCAACAGTATTAAGGTAAAATTTTGGATACAATTGAATCATAATTATTTCTTAAGTACACCGTTTTTAGTATGAAAATATTTACTTTAATTTTTTTCCAGTATCAAAGGAGATTGCTTGATTCGATTGTTATTAACAAAGCGAATGCGACGTCACGAGAAAATCAAGACAATTTAAGGTATTTCACATATTATTTATCACAAACTTATACATTTTTCTTTCTCTATTTTATTTGGATGCATGAAAAGGGTCTCTTTGACAGCTGTCAAAGTAGAATTGAGACCACGAAGTTATACTTTTTTTATCTGTTTCACACAGATTAAAAGAGAAGAACGCAAGTATCGGACCGATGAGAATCTTCAATAGACCAAGCTCTCCGAAAGGCAGACACAATGTGCATACACCATTCTATTGAATGTTGTGAATAATATTGTGAAAATTACTAGTGAAGTTCAATACGAAATGAATAGACTTACATTTTTTTATTATTATACTTTATTTACAATATATAACTTGTATCAGATATTTTTATGTACATAAATGTCATTTTATTTTGTAATTTGAGTTTTTTTTAATTAGAAATAATTTAGCCTTGAACAAATGTAGGCAAAAAATAGGCCCATTTTATTTCAGAACGAATTATTATTTACAATCGTTTGGCAGAAGGGTGATGGCTTTTACAGTATTTGTAAAAAAATACGAAAAATCCTAACCTCAAAATTCTTACAAATATTAACATGTTATCAAGGTTTTTAGGTATAAATCAAAACCGAGAAATTATTTACTTAAAATCTAAGAGTTAGTATATATTTTACGATGTAACATATGTAAAATAACTACTTATATTTAATCAGTCCATGTATGAGACAATACACATCACTTAATTCATATACCGTGGGTTTCCGAGACCAAAATCCCCGTTTAAAACATATTGTTATCTCTGTTTTGTTAAAGATAATAACAGGGATGACGATATGTTTTATTTTTCTCTCAGAAACCAACGATTAATACTTTAGGCACTTTAATTCAAGTTCATACACTAAGAGGGTCGGCGGGCGGAGCCATACAGTTGCCATCGGGGTAGCGTTTCTTAAACGCCGCTATAAGATCTGGTTCCACTAATCTTACACCATCCACTTGGTTACCTAATGTTATCCTGTTGATTTACACGAATAGACTAAATAGACCGTAGAGAAAGATACAAATATAGTATTCAGGGTGTAAGAAAGAGAGGCATGCATTAACTTGTAAAAACGACATGTATACAAAAGCTCCTATTATCCATTGCTTGTTTTATTCGACCATGCTATGAATTCTTATATATTATAATTTTACTTACCAATTAGGTTGAACATTGTGCGGTCGACCGAATAATTCTATTTTCCTTGTGCCTGGACTTAATCGTTCTATAAAAGATATAAAATCATGACATAAAAAAAAGGATTGACAGATGACGATGCTAATTAAATTTTATATTATACTAGCGTTCGCCCGCAACTTTGTCAGCGTAGAAAAGAAAAATTGCCTATAACATGTCCAAGTGTCGCGCCCCATCCGTAAGTCCCGTCAAAATCCGTCCACCTGTTTCCCGTTTACCCGGAACAAACACGGCCTTGCGGACAGTCATACAGACCTAAATTTGAAAAATTAATACATTACGTGTACGAAGTTTATTTTATTAATATTAAGTTATTTATGTTTACCAATAATGCCGTATATTTCATCCGGCTTGTGTGAAGTGGCTCTTACTTCGGCGACAATGACGTCACAATCGAGACCTCGGTTCAAATTCTCCGGGTTGCCTTTCATGCCAACCTGTAGATTACAAAATTATTTTCGTACTGTAGCTGTCATTCATTTCTTTACTTTTATTTATATCATGAAGCAGATATCTGTTTTATAAAATCACTAAAAAGTTAAATATCGTATCGTTAGAGCAGGTCCAGGTGGTACGACCGCCCAGGGCGCCGGTTAATAAGGGGCGCCGCAGGCGCCATCGTCGCATACAAAGGGACGCCTGTGGTGCCCCCTAAAATATCTTTGGAAGATTTCCGACGACACCAAAAAAAAAATTGGACGCCGAAAAATCTCGCGCAGGGCGCCGGAAATTTTAAAACCGGCTATGTTTTAGGTACCTCTGTTCACTTAATTTAGTCTTTTACTTGAGAGGAAGGATAATCAGGCTAATAGGAAGGTGTTACCAGACAGTGTTCTTTGCCGTGGTTGAGCCAGTGTCCAGTACGTCCAGTGCGGATGATGCGCTGCAGCTGGTTGGTCTTCACCCAGATCAGCTCGTCCACGCGCTCGTAGCCCCACAGCTTGAGGCATTCGCGGCCCAGCTCCATTGCCCTGTACATCATCACCTCACTATACCTCCCCACTGAGAGCCTCCGAGCCTACCCTGAGTCAATGACCAGGCCATAGTCAACGCTGACGCAGTGCGGGTTGACTTCATACATATCTTTAAATTTCTTCTCAATGTGCATGCATCATGATGTAAATCGAAAATCAAATTGGTATATGACAGGATTCGAACACAAGATCTGCAGATTACATATCAAGTGCACAACCCCTGAGACACCGACGCTTAATTATTTTCATTGAAAAAACAAAGACAAAATACCGTTTTTTTTTTTAAATCTGAATCTGGAAGTTATAAAAATATGACTAACGATTTTGATATTTCAAGGTCTTTTACTTCGATTTAATTATCAAAAATAAATGGAGAATGGAAGGGGTAGAGATACTACAGGATAGAGACATAAGTTAATGTCCTTTTTTATATACACGTGTTATTTGCCATTGTATGGAAAAAAATAGTTGCAAACCTTCCGGTGACCCAGAGGAAGATGAGTCCGCTGTCCTGCAGCTGCGGAACACCGAGGCAGCGCATCTCGTCATCCGACATGGTGCCGTACGGCAGCTCCATGTGAATATCCCATGGTGGATCCGCCATTATCACTGCGAACTTGCCTAACAATAATATAAAACGTAAAATTTTCACATTTATAATATTAATAAAAAGTAAGATTGATTAAATTTGATTTAAAAAATAGCTGTCGCCCGCGACTCCGTCCGCAGGGAATAAAAAAAAAACATAATAAGTAGCCTACATTTTCTTTCAGACTATGTTCTATATGTATGTCAAATTTTATCAAGATCCATTCAGCCTTTCCGGGATACATTCAAACATCCGTCCATCTAAACATTCGCATTTATAATATTCATCATCAGCTCACTATACGTCCCCACCGAGGGGCTCGGAGCCTACCCTAAGTTAAGGATGATTAGGCCATAGTCAACCACGCTGGCCAAGTGCGGGTTGACTTCACACATATATTTGAATTTCTTCTCAGATATTTGCAGCATCACTATGTTTATCTTCACTGTCAGAACGTTGGATAAATGTACATATGTAAATGGAAAAACACATTGGTACATGGCTGGATTCGAACCCAGTACCTGCAGGTTACAAATCATGTGCTGTGTCACTGAGCCACCGACGCTCTCTTATAATATTAGTAAGATGTAATTTGAAGTGAACAAACACTTAGAAGACTTACCTAAAAACGTCATATCCAAATATCTCAGATCACATTGTATCCACTGCGGAGGTGTTAATGTCAACACTCCATCTGGCTTCGGAACTACTGTTGCACCTAAACATATACAAACAATAGTATCAAATCAAGCGTCAATAGCCTAATGGTTAAGGGTACGGATTTCCGATCACGAGGCCTAGGGTTCGAATCCCGCCATTCGACTGTTGTCGTAAACCATATCCTAGCACAAGCATAGAGCTTTGTTGAAATGGTAAAAGAAATATTAGTAAATTTACAAAAAAAAACTGCTAATATTTTTATTACATATTGCCATCTCTTTGATTCTCTTTGACAAAACAGAGACAACAGTATACATACCCAAAACGAACCCATTTTTGGATACTTAATAAAATACATAATATCAAAGCAAAATAATCAATATTTGTTCTTAATAATTAATTTCTTAGAATTTTCGCAGATTTTCTCATAGTATTGTAGCATTTTAGAATCTCGATGAGTTGCGCCTATTTTTGTATTTTAATGCCGTGGTACTCTTCATACATTTTTTTTACACAGTAACAAGTCAAAGTTGGTCAAAAGTTAAAATATTCTAAAATTTCAAGGATACAGTCAGTTATTACAGTCGAATGAAGGGAGAAACCTCTATAAAGTCCGCTATTGAGTCCGCTCTTGGTTCGACTTGAACTCTGGTTAGAAAGAAACCTCTATAAGCTAGAAATTCAAGTTATAGAGAAAATTCTATAAGGGAAACATTCGGGTTGGAGAAAACCGTATAAGTGATAAAAATATCGCGATCCTTGGACTCTAGCTTATCTAAGTTTAAATGTAATATTTTTGGTATAAAACAAACATTCATCATCATCATCATCATCAGCTCACTATACGTCCCCAGTGAGGGGCTCGGAGCTACCCTAAGTTAATGGTGATTAGGCCATAGTTAACCACGCTGGCCAAGTGCGGGTTGACTTCACACATATCTTTGAATTTCTTCTCAGATATGTGCAGCATCACGATGAAGGAAAACATCATTTATCTTTAATTATAATAATAATTTAAAACAAGTATATTTTTGGTTGGATGATATGAAAGTTTATTTAATTTCTCACCATTATGTGAATTTTTGGCAGTTGGTTCGTTTGTTGTTTTATTCGTTATATTAGGATCCGCGTTATCCACCTCGTAATGAACGTATCTGGAAAAAATAAAAAAATATTAGATGTGACTTTCGTTTATCAAATTATTTTATAATATACAACTATGTTTGATACTTTTGTCAATATAAGACGTATTCGATGATGTTTGATCGTTTATATGTCGCTAAAGAAAAAAAAAAATCATATTTAGTGGAAGGAAAAAAACATGGTGGCAAAATCCTTGCCAACACCAGTATGAGCTCTGTTAAATTCTGTTCATAGATTTTCCTCTTGCAGTTCGTGAAATAATTTAAAATATGGATGAATACATAGTGCCACAAAGTGGAAAAAGTCATAAAAATGTTGGCGCACATATTGCCTCCACCAGTAAAAGGGTTAATACAGCGCATATGTGGATATTTCAATACTATACAATAACGAAAATGAACGAATACATCTTCTATTTTAGTTTTTTTTATATCTTAAGTTTGCAAACGAGCAAGCGGCTACCTGAAATCACTGAAATAGCGAGGTGACCGTTGCCTACAGACATACACAATGGCATATGCGTTGCCTACCTTTAAACGACTGAGGAGAGGATATATATATGTATATATATAGCGGACCCGACAGACGTTGTCCTGTCTACACGTCTTTAATTTGAAAATTTCAAACTTTTTTTAATAAGCTAAAATTCGAATATTATTTAAAATTTGACACTGCGATGGTAGCGCCGTCTGTCGGATCCAATGTAAAACATTCCAAAATCAACAACTACTAATAAATTAAAAATTAATTAAAAAACATTGTCCAGCGGACAAAATTGTGAATCTAAACCATTCCCAGATCCCCTTGAACATACACAAAAAAATTCATCAAAATCGGTCCAGTCGTTTGAGAGAAGTTCAGTGACATACACACTCACAGAAGAATCATATATATATAGATAGATAGATAGAAAAGATATTACAAAACATTTTTTAACACTTACTTGCAACTGTCCATATGGAAGCAAGTATTCAAAAAGGAGCAATCTCCCAAAGATTCATCCGTATGACTTTGTATGATCTTTTTGAAGTGTAGCTTTTTGCACTCATACTGCACCCCAGGCTTGTCTGACTTCGCGTTGCGTACGCACTCCGCACGCGTCCCGTGCGGACAGAATTCCATTACTTGAGCCCCTATCACAAATATTACATGAAAGCAAAAACGTACATAAAGCTATTTTTATTAAAAACTAGCTGTCGCCCGCGACTCCGACCGCGCGGAATTAAAAAAAAAACTTAATTAGTAGCCTATGTTCATCCATGCTGCCATTCTGTTGATACCTTCAAACAAACATCCATCCATTCAAACATTCGCATTTATAATATTAGTAACATATTTTACCTCCTTGACTTTTAAACTTATCTGCCAAAGACTTTTCCTTTGCCGTTGGTTTACTTAGGAGATCCATTATCTCCTCACCAACTCTTTTTACCGCTTTCTCTCTGCTTGACGGCATTGCTAATAACGACTGAAAAGATACAATAAATTGTAATTATACTACACGTCATTTAAACTCTTAATTGGACAGGGGAGGGGATGTACAAGAAAGGGATATGTCACCTATCTAAACATCTCTGCTTAGTTGAATGCACTTCATATGTTTTCCTTATTTAAATAGGGTGGGAAAAAGACTATATCTTTGTGTAGGGACAAAGATATAGTCTTTTTCCCTTCATTTACAAGGGACTCTAACGACTAATGTAAATGCGCTCTAATTTTAACTCACCATAATATCAGTATCACCTTTTGCGGTCTTTTTGTCATCAGTTACGTTTTTGGCAACTTTGGGATTTGTACTTTCATCTGTTGTGTCACCTGTGCAAAGTATTAAAAAAAACAAATTAGTTATCATGAAAACTACCATTTCTAAAAAACTATAAAAAAATCTAGATTTCTTTTTTTGTTTAAACAATAAAAGCATTTTCACTTGCAACAAACACTACATATTCTATGTTTCCATAACTTCCCGAGGGATACATAAAAAAAGGCAAATGTTAACTGCTAATTGCTATTTCCTATAACTATCACACTAGGCTAAGCTTATGTCATGAGGATTATATACAGTACAGATGAGTTATCAGATTAAGTTTACTTTAGCAGATTTAAAATCATGTTATCCCCAAGTTTGGCATAGGATTTAGAAGGTTTCATTTTATAAAAAATCTTATAAAAGCAACAATTAATTATAAAACCTTTTCTTTTAGCTGGAGCTGATTGTTCTTCTATTAAGGCAGTCAGTACTGCACCCAGTCTCACAGATTCTGCACTGACAACTTCAATTTCTGCATCCATTGCACCTTCTAAGCGTTCCTTGATGCTGTAATAAGACAAAAAAGTGATGAATCAACAGAGAAGGGGACATATAGGAGGAGGAAATATCCTACATGTACATCCTCCGTTCATTATAGATAGGCAATGCATCTGCAACTTTTTAACTTGTTTATTTTGGTGAAATTAGGTATTTTCAAGAAAGAATAGGCTTTTGCTAAATAAGTACATATATTTTGACAAATCAATTAACACATTGATTGACCTGGAGAAGCGAGAGTACAGACAATTGCAACATTTTTCTCGCTTATAAAGGTTTTTGTATAACACAAGTTTCTCGCTTAAGCAGGCTGTCCATCAAAAGCGGACATTGACTCTTTCTTATCCATGTTCAACTGTATTAATTAATCATTAATAGTAGATAGTATTATATTAGAGAAAGACATTTTATTTTTAACTACAGAGTAGCTTACGTGATTAACTTCTGTGTTGCAAACTTCTGTAGTAAGCTGGCAACAATTCCAGTATCAACATCACCTAGGCCTGGTATCAATGCACTGGCTGTTGCTGGTAATTGTAGCTGCATGTCGGACAGTACTTGTAACAGACGCACTTCTAAAGATGCTACGGGAACTGGCAGCTTTGGTTTCTCAGTAACTATAACAGTAACAGACTATTTCAATGATGAAATTAAAAAAAAACCTTTAATAGTAAAAATTATAGGAAGCAATGATGATGGAAAGTACTAGTTTAGGTGATGCAAATAAAAAAATGAGACTTTAACTGAGAAAATTTCAATAATTTGTATTTCAGTATGAAGCTTTTCTTCATGATATACTTTAGTCGAATTTTTATTTTTATACATTTGAGTGTGGAATTAGCAAGCTTTGACATATAATTGCTCGTTTTTTAGTATCTGACCATGGCATTTATTCATCTCTTGGTGTTACACTGTTTATATAAAACAAAAATAATTTCTACCTTCACTTTTTTGAGCAGCTGGACTGGAAACAGATTTCTCTTTGCTACATGGTGAACCTTCCCCTTTCTCGTTCACGAGAGTCGCGCCCAAAATATTTTGCCGTTCTTTTTTACGTTTCTCAAGCTTCTCTCTAAGACTGTTCCTCTTGCTCTTCACAGCTTGAATTTCTTCCCAGGCGTCAGACATGACTAGGATAAAAACAATTACTGAGCGGTAAGGGAAGCAGACGACATAAATTATGTTTTACGAATAGGTTAACGTTTGTAAAACATATACTTAGACAACAGCAACAATGTTATTGTGTTGTAAGTACTATTTCTATATAATTTACTATTAATATTTACTCCATAACTTTAAAATTGTAACCTCACAACAACGTAAACAATGACAATGACAGTGACATTCTTAGTTTACAGCCTGTCAACAAAACTCATCAAAGTAGCAACTTACCAGTAGAAAAAAAAGTTCAAATACTAATGTTGCCAAAAAAAACAATCTTAAATAAACTTTTTTTTTAATTTTTGAGGGTTCATTCGTATTTCGAATCATTGTGACATTTGATTTATGTGTTAATTTAAAAGTATTCTAGTCAATAGTGCAAAAATCAAATTTCTTTTACTTACTTTTCTTGAACTATGAATTTTGCACCAGAGTTAATAAACCATTCTCAAAAAGTATGTGCACTGTACAAAACGGCACTGAGATTGATCGAGTCGTATTATTATCCTAGGTGAGAACATTTATTTTATATGTATAAAGTAAAAAGTAAGTTAGAGTCGTAAATATTTATGTGTAGTATTATTTAATCTCGGCTCCCATCGGTCTTAATTCGACCTTAGTTCATAGAAATAGCTTTATACGTCTTTCTCTACAGTAACTTTACTTGCGTCAAATTTCATGTCTGCGATTCACGCAATTATCTTAGTACACAAAGTTTTCACTTCTATTAACATTATGATAATCTTTCAGATATGTTATACGTTATCACCAAATTCTTTTGAGAAAGCGATTTGATGATAATAAATGCGTTTGCGATCCTAAGGAGCAACGTCGCCTTTTGTGGGTAGGGGAGCATGAAGCTTTCATGAAGAAAAACCCTGTATTCCTTGGACGATGTAAGTTCAGCTTTATTGTTTTTTTTTTTTAATTTTAGGGCCATATAACTTTAATTTTTTAAAATTTAAATTGTATGTATCTTTCCTCATTAGTTAATAAGATAATGCAGTTCAATATTTTTTTGCTTTGTAGTTTCAAAATCGCTTGGACGTGCAGGAGGTGTAGCTTTTGAACGAGTTGTTGAACCACCGGACTGGGTTATGGATTACTGGCATCCATTAGAAAAAGCGCAGTATCCTCAATATTTTGCTACTCGAGAGTGCCGGAAAAACCAGTTCATCAAGAAGTGGCAAGCTGGTATTTTGTAATGAGATTGATAATGTGTCTTCTTTCTTGAGCAAAATATAGAATAATCCTTAAACCTAAATTTTCTTTTAATTTTCACATGCTCATATTTTATAAGCTGTAAAAACGGGCTTGACAGATTGCGATACGACTCTGATAAATGTCATATTGACAAGGAATTTATCCACATGCATGTTTTGATTTTTTAATTACGAATATTCTCAAAATTTAGATTAATTTTAATTGGAAATGGCGGGGAATTCTGAAAAAGAAACAAAAATGCCTATGACTGATACGGAGCGGTTGGAATTGTGTCAGAAATTAGATCAAGAGCTTGATGATTTTATAAACAGTTTGGAAAGGAAAAGGTATACAGAAGGATGGCCGGAAGATCGATGGGAGGTATTATATATTTCCCTAAATAAATAATAAACATAATTAATTCATATTATCTTGATATTCGACAAGAATATAGTGCTTTTGGTGACCAAAGTAACCAAAGTAACTTGATTTTACGTCGTCGTTTTTTCTTGTACCTTATGTGAATTAACATCTCACTTGTGTAAGAAATACATAGTGTATACATACATTCGCAATGTAAATGAAGAGACTTGAAGTACAGAGGTTTCCCTCAATATTTTTTTATAGGAAGAAATGGATAAACATCCATTTTTTATGAAGAATAATCCTGATGGTGATGTAATGTCTCCGTTAGCGGAAGGTTTGGCAAAACTTAAATATGATCCTGAGGAAAACACGCCATTGGAATTGGCAAATAATTATAAAGAAGATGGCAACTTTAATTTCAAGCACAAGAATTATCGTTTAGCTATTTTAGGGTGAGTCAATCTTTTTACTAAACATATAAAATTATTCTATTTACTTTTTATAATGATGTTACATTATTTACAATATTTATTTTGTGCCTGTATTTGAAGCAGAATTGACATGAATTCATTAAAAAAAAAAATAGCTTTTGGTTGGGTTAGTGGGGTAAAAAAAAAATCTTTTACAGATACACAGAAGGTATTAAAGTGAAGTGTAATGATCCTGAAATAAACGCAAGCTTATACAACAACCGTGCAGCTTCACACTGGCATTTAAAAAACTATAGATCCTCATTGTATGATAGTGAAAAAGCTTTATTATTTAAGCCGGAACATACAAAAGCGAGACTGCGAGCAGCTAAAGCAGCTTGCGAAGTAGCCAAGTACAATATTTGTATACAACACTGTGAGAAATTACTATCACAGAATAACGATAAAGAAGTTGTAGAATTATTAAGTCTGGCAAAAAAGAAGAGGTTGATACAAGAACGAGATGAAAGGAAAGAGAAAAGAAAAACAAGTAAGAAGGAAGAAGAAAGGGATGAGATAATTAAAACGATTATTGAGCGTGGAATTAGAGTATCCAATTGTGAAGACGAAGATGATATAGATTTATCTAAATTAGAACCGTGTTTGCCAGACTCGCAAGACTGTATGGTGCATTTAGAAAATGGTATATTAAAGTGGCCAATACTTTTAATGTATCCGGAATATCAGATGACAGATGTTGTTAAAGCTTGTCCGGAAAATGTTCCATTGTTGAACCAATTGGAACAATTATTCCCAGCTCCTTGGGATACGAATAAACAGTACAATGTTTGGACTGTTAATGTATATTTTGAAGGTTATGATAAAATGCCACATGTGATTAATCCAAAGAAGAATTTGGGTGATTTGTTAGTGACGAAATATTTTGAACTTAAAGCCGGCACCCCAGCGTTTTTTATTTTGCCCCGTGGAAGTGAAATTGAAAGTAGATTTTTAGAAGTTTATTTATAGATTAAAATGAAATATATTATTGTATAATGACGGCCAGTCTTCATCTTTTATTTTGCTACAGTGATACCCTATTTTATAAAACTTCCGTATCATAAAACAGTTAAGAATAAAAAATAGCTAAACTCAAGTCTGTCATGAAATTATTGCTGGAGGTCTAATTTTAGTCCTCTTTCCCTATCCACCCATTTTCTTATAAGGAAAGGATGGGAAGTGGAAGTGGATTTTAAGGATGAGAGGACATATGGGAAGGAAAAATATTCTCTTTCCGTACATCGTCCGTTGATTAAAGGTAGGCAAAGCATTTGTTATTGTCTATGGGCGACGGTCGCTTCGCTTTCTCAGCGATTTCAGGGTGGTTAGACAAAGTCCGTTCGCTCGGAAGCAATTCTATAATGAACTTCAAAAATCTATGGAACTGACAATAACTTTGGATAAGTCACGTCATCTTGCATCACTTCCATACATTTCTGAAGTTCGCTATGGGATCGCTTCGAAGCGAATGCATTTTGTCCAGCCCCATTGAAACCGCTGATTGTGGTGGCCGCTCGCTCTTTTGCCACCTTATGACATATAAAAAAAATATAAAAAAATATTGCACGAATTGCGATATCAACTAAATATTTAAGTAATAAAATATTATCAATTATAATACATTTAATAAATAATTAAGTATCAATATCCGCGTCTTCGTTGTCGTATGTTTGATGTGGATAGTACGGTCCTGCTGATTCAAACGGACTCTTGGAGTCAAGCAGGGACGGGTACGGATGATGAGGTAGTGTACCCATCCATTGAGGGTACCAGTACAGACCCTGAACATAGGAAAATATAACCACAATCAAATTTTTTTAAAAGTATAGCAGGTTTTCTAATTAGAAGTCATCTGGGGTTATTCCACTCACGTGAGATCGGCGCATAAGGTTTAGAAACCTTAGAGTTTTAGCTTAATTTACGGCCTGCCTGTCGTTAACCCTAATTGGGATTTACTAACAATATTATATATCTCTCTCTCTCTCCTCCTTCTCTCTCTCTTCGGTCATATGATGCCCACTGCTGCACGGGCCTCAACCAATGTCATAACGATGATAGGTCCCGCATCCAGGATACTCCTAACAATATTATCATTTTAAATCAACTAAAATTACCTTATTGCCCGCTGCGTTACAAGTAAATCTGTCGTCGTGAAGTTCCACCGCGTCCAAATAACTTTTACCGGCGATGGAACCGTAGTTCGGAGGGTACATAAAAAGACAGCCGTCCAAGTTATCTGAGAAGGAAGTTTTTAATGAGGCGAAGCAGAGATTCTTTCCAATGTTAATTACGAACAGAAAGTTCTTCGCAACAATCTTGACTATTCATTTCATCTTCAACACGTTTACTGCTAGTGACATTTTTACTTACTACATTGGCCTTGCTTGCCTTGCGACTAAACGTCTTAAGGGGTCTGCCAACACTTTCACATCATCACTACAGACTTAAATATTTTGTGTGGTACTTACTATCATTCAATTTCTGTTTTAATTCTACTTACATGGTACCGTTATGTTTTCATCTTCGTCGACAATATCTGGAGTTGGTGTTGGCTCTATATATGGTGGTATTGGGTCTATGCCGGTCCCAGGGTCGCCGGGTATTAAAAATGGACCTAATATGAAAGAATTAAGAGTTTAGTTTGCTATAAAAAGTTCACTTTTAAGAATATAATTAAACATTACCGCCGTAATGGTTGGTGTAATTCCATTCGCAGACATGATGGTCACACACGAGGGGCGTGTGATGTTCCTTAGTATAATATGTGTGGCCGTTTGGTGTAGTCTAAAAAAGTAAATAATTCTCTAGTAAAAATTTTCTGATTTTGATTCTAGCGTATTTATCAGACGTTCATTAGCATGGTGAGTTGACTTTCTTAAGAAATAACCTTAGTGGCATTGAACGTGTTAATAAGGCAACAAAAGGTTAACATACCAACAAATAATCGTAATGTCGGTATCTAAGACCCTGTATGTTGAAATCCAGTATGAAAGAACCAGACGCGATGATGCAAGCTGTAGCCGTGAGTGGTGGTAACTTGTACATGATGAGACCGCACTTCACAATCGCTTTGGGTAACGTCACCACATCTCTTTCGTTTTGTACCAGCTTCTTAAATGGAAATCTAATTGGGAAATAAATGAAGATTAAAATTTGCTTTTAAAGTCTGAAATGTCAGTGATAAAAATGTAAATTACCTGAATATACATATGCCTATATGGCACTCCAACCCATGTAGGTAGTTGTCGGTAGGGAATGACACACTGGGATCGTCTAACAAGTAGTACTTCTGCTCATCATGGAAGTGTAGAAAGCCAAGGAAGATGAAAGAGCGATCCTTGCAGTAAGGTGCAAGACCTCGTCCCATGTTGTAGATGTCGCTGTAGAGCTCTGATATGAACAGGTAAACGTTCTTCCCGCAATAGAATTCTATAATTAAAAATTGAATTTCTGTAAGGTAGCTGCAAACCTTTGAAACAATAAGAAGAGTTAGGCAGGACAGAATGATTTAAGTACCTTCTTTTCCTTACATCTTTACGAGTTAAAGTAAGCAGAGCCGCGTGCACCAGAGGAAGTCTTCGTTACGACTTTCATGATTGGTATGGCTTTGACTTTTCGTAAGAAACTAAATTGAGTCAGCGGTACAGAAACTGTGCCATTTACCTTGGCTGATATAAAACTCCATGGGCACCGGTCCTCCTGTATACGTGGCCTTCCTTTCCGCAGCGATTGAGTTGTGGTTCTCGTACATCGTCAGCATATTATCGATTACGTCGTCGAGAGTTATTAAAAGCACCTATTAAGCATTTTGAATTTAGAATTTGAAAAGTACAGCCGAAGATTTGGAGAATGACATGAGTGTTCAGTGGGCCTAACACAAATATTTGAGTCAATCGCTTTCCTATCGTCGCCATCAATTATGTCAAGATTAGTACGAAATTTTTGACGAACTTTTACGCTAGATTTTACAAATTTTGTTCATGTCGATTTTAAGTTTAGTAACTTGGATGACTTTTTTATTAGATCGTGTTAGAAATTGCCGTTGCCGTTGTGTCCATTTATTTTTATTTGGTAAAATATTTTTAATATACCTTCAGCTCTTGAATATGGAGTCGGATGAATCTTCCAAGATGATCAGTGGCGATATGTATTCGTTCATTGATTATATACTGCAATAGAATAGATACTTTTATTATAATCACTAGGTGTCGCCCGCAACTTTGTCCATGCTGAATTAAAAAAAATTAGTAGCCTATGTGTTCTTCCAAAGTATGTTCTATATGTATGACAAATTTCATTGAGATCCATCCTGCCATTCTTAAGATACCTTCAAGCATTTATCCATACATTTAAACATTCGCATTTATAATATTAAGATTTGACCATAACTTGGTACAAGATGAAACGTATAGTTTTAGTCAAATACCTGGTCTTCAGCTGTTTTGATACGCATCATCTCATTCTGGTATAGCCAAAGGTTGTCCAGTTTGTCTGTAGGATCGTGTCCATAGATTTCGAACGCATCTATGATCATTGCTAGTGTGATATTCTCGTTGACTCCGATACAGCATGGATGACGACGGATGTCGTACGGTATCTGTAGTTATTACAAACCTTAATTCAAAATAATAGTTATTTCACTTTTATACAAACACGTCATTGACTTTTTTTTAACACGGAAGCAAATGCGTTACTCCTTTTTTGGCCTTATTTCCGTCGGGTATCCAAAATGCATAGATATTGCAGAATCTATGGATACGGTTGCTCTATTGACTTTGTTTAAATAAACAAATGTTAGAATGGCTGTCACATACTTGGATTCTTGACGAGCATAGTGACCGTTCTTGCAAATAGTTATGTTGCATTATTATTATAATTATTCCAGCATAGTGAGTGCAGTATATTTAAAAGTCAAAATATTGTTTAAGTGTCAGGTAGATTATATATTTTTAAATATACAAACCGTTAACTGAATCCAGGCCACACATAATACAAATAGCACGCAAGCGCGAGTAAAGGCGTCCATGTTGTCAGCATGGCGACCAGGTAAAGCATTAAATTCCCGCCAATTACGTAATCAAATTTAAATTTTATTGTATTTTTTAATACTGGCAACCTTGCCATTGCAAAAATAATGAAGTCGTTAAATTTATTGCGAACTTTCATTGCCTCATAGATGAAAAATTATTTAGATTAAAAAAAATAACCAACCAGTACTTTGTTGATTTCTGGCGTTAACTTCTAAAATCTTCGTTAAACAGATATTGCTATCTCTGTGCTATCAAAGATAATGACAGGGATGACGATATGTTTTATAACAGAAACCCACGGTTAGTAATGGACTACTCTCAGATTAATGAATTCATTCCTTAATACAGATTTCTTTTATTACCTTTGTTTTCCGAGACCAAAGTCCATGTGTGAAACATATTGTTATCTCTGTTTTTACAAAGATAATGAGAGGGATGACAATATGTTTAACGTTTCTCACGTGGCTGTTGGTTGTAGAATAGAGGTTAAAGATATTTGTAAATGAAACAACACATTTGGAATAACATTTTGTATTGATTTAAATACACACTTAGAACTCATTTTGACGATACACTAATATTGTGTACGTTGATTATTGCGTTTTTACACTAAAATACTTCACTCGAATACAAGCACTACTTAACACTTTCAATGCCATTAAGATTTTAACACTTTAATACATGGTTAATTAACTTTACTCGCAGTACCAGTTGGCGGCAGTGAAAGTGTTACCAAAACATTTTAACCTATATTGGAAGCACAATTGATATAATTCCTAACCCTTTAGTAATATGAGGTGTACAGTACATATTTTTAGGTTACATAGCTTTATAAACCAACCAATCAACCAACCAACCAACCAGCTATTGGGTGTTTACCGTTGGATGTTTACCGTTGGGTGTTTACCGTTGGGTATTTCCCGTCGGGTGTTTCTCGTACCGTTCAATCGCCCCAATTGGAATATTTCTTTCATACACTGAGTATTAATCGGCGAAATTTATCTTAGAATAATACAATGTTCTTTTTAATGATAAAATTAACAGCAGTATAAAAGAACTGTTTTAAGAAACATAAAACGGTCCGAAATTTTTATTATAGTATTTTTTTCTTTTCAACCACTATATAAACGAATTATACGTTTCACATTTAATAGATATTTTGGAGTTTTTCATATTTTATCTGCACGACTAATTCAAAATTGAGAATATTGTTTTATTGAATAAACCAGTGTTTGACAACAAACCCACCTGATAGTGGCTATGTGACCGAATGGTATATTTTACATTTTTTTATGTTATTAGAGTGGTAACATTTATATTAAGATTATATTTATTACTATGATATGATCAACAACAATATAAATATAATTATTACAATTGGAAGACTTTTTTTTTGTAATCTTAAGTGTACGTAAAGAAAAGTTAATAATCTATTGCACGTAAATTAAATATAATTTTAACGAATTTTCGTTTACAAAATTATCAAAAAAATAAAATTATTAAATGTTATAAAATAAGATAATATATGTAAATATAAAAAGCTTATATTACAAAAAAAAATTAATTTCGCAGTTGCTTATTTCACTAGTAAAAAATAACAAATCTTTTAAAAATACATACTGTATATAAGTATACATATTTTGTAAATATTCATCCATTTAATAAATATTTGCATTGCTTAATTGGATTTATATATGTAATCTTGCGTTATTGTTTAAAGGTTTCAATTATGGTTGCCAGGTCTCCAAACCTAATAGCCGGACATACCATTTTTGCCGGACATTTGAGTATAAAGGCCAGACTTTATTGAGAATTTTGTCTCAGTATTAGTAGGTTTAGTAGTTACAATAAAATTGTATGTCAAATCACTTTTGATTGCGAAATGTAAAAAGCATAACAAACCGGACAACATGACACATATTATTTTGGCTGGACATGCAATCAAAAAGCCTACCCATGTCCGGTTTTATCCGGACGCCTGGCAACGCTAGTATCAATAACGAAATACATATATTAATTTTATGGTAATTTTTATAGCATAATATTTAATAAATATATCAAAAAATTTAAACGCATTATTATTGGAAGGTGTAAAATATAATATTCCAAATAACTTCAAAACGCGCAATTAAAATGTCTAAATCTATAAATATTATTTACGTTATTACAACTTTAATATATTTTAAATGCAACGCGAATATTTCAAATATTTACTATATGTAATTTGACTAAAATACCATTAAATATAGCATATATTTTTCAACTGGAAGACTTCGTTGTCAAAGGACAATTAATGCTTATTTCCATTAAACAAATAGCCGCGCGATTACCACGTACTTACTCCCGCGATAGTGGAAATAGGAGATAAACCAGCGAATCGCTGCCAAAGTCGCGCGGCCCTTACTGGAAATTGGATTTAACACTGACTTTTGGAAGACATTGGATTATTTATAATTTTCGTGTACAATTATAATTTTAATTTTATATACATACATCTATAAATTGGAAGACATGTTTCAAATATCAAGTACAACAGTTATTATTGTCATTCTTATAAGTCTAAGCTAAGATATAAACATTAAATCACTTTTGTCTAGACAATAACTTTAAACGACAATCTTGGAAACGAAATACAGCGTCTAGTAATAGTTCAACAACTTAATACTATACGATATTAACTGTTTTGTAATTAAAATGGCAAACCAATCTTGAAGGCTTTGACGAGAGCAGAGCCTGAATCGTACATGCCAATAATACCGAAAAGAACACCAAGACCGATTATAAAATAATCGTAAGCGATAGTAGTACTTTCCAGTTGATTGCCCTTCAATTTAAGATGGAAATATGCAGGCCATATGAAACTCAACATGGTACCGGTGAAGCTGCCGATGAAACCCATCAATATAGCGAAGTGGGGAATGAAAATCGCCATCAGAACTGTAACTACTATAACACCTAATCGCCAAGCTAGACCCCAAACTTTCAACTCACCATCCAAAGCGTAAATCGTAGGGAAAAGTGTTTTAGGTTTGCCCCGAAACAGAGCTCGTTCTAGCAAATCACATGCAGCATAATAAGGTAACGGGTAACTAAGCACCGCTTTTATAACAAGAAAGAAGTTCACCAGCCCTTTAAATCCAGCCGAACGTAGATTGTTGGTAATCACTTGCTGGGTATCATTTTGGAATGTCAAAAAACATAAGTATCCGAAGATCGATTTGAAAGCGGCAGCTGCGATATGCGACCAATTCAACATCCATTCGAATTTGGAACGATCCTCTAAGTTACCTTCCAAAGTGGGTAAGAATATCTGTGAAGTATATGAGAAAACGATCACACCCAAACTGATTGGGAAATTCTCGAAATCCAAATTCCATTTTACCTTTGACCAGCCCCAATCTCCAATGTTAAGAATGCAGTATCCAAGTACGATCGCGTTAATAATCAAATGGCTCATGGTGCACCAGAAGGACAGCATACTGACGCTTTTCAAAGATTTCAGAAAAGCTAGTGGCAGAAGGAATATTCCTATCAACATCATCCAAGAACGTGTATCTATAGAACCATCGGGGAAGGTTCCAATCATCAAATCACCGCAGACAACAACATAAAGGATACAAGTCATCAGAAGTTCGATGATTTGAGCTATATTAACTATTCTCGCTCCGTATTTTCTACCGAAACATTCTTTAGCGATCGAGACGTAAGAATCACGGACTCTCACGCGTTGGCCTGATACAGGATCATCTTCGTAAAGGCATTCGACTAAGATTTTCCCGGTGTAGCAGCAGATGTGTGCGATGCCGATCATTGCAGCGATAGCCCAGTAGCCTCCTTGGAGTACAGCAAAAGGCAGTGACACCACAAACATACCCTGGGCGAAAACAAAATAATATACAGGCGCATTCTTACCGCTGGCCAAAGTTCACTTTTACCGTATAAATCTTACTAATATAATAAATAGGAAAGGTTGTGGGTGGATGAAAGATGGATGGATGGATGTTTGTTTGAAAGTATCTCTGGAACGGCCGAACGGATTTTAATGACATTTGGCATACGTGTAGATCATAGTGTACAAGAACACGGAGTCGCGGGCAACAGCTAGTAGAATAGAAAGATATAATGTATAAGAAAGTGGGATAAAAGACTCTGTAAGATTTTATGTATATTAACTTACTTGGATAGCATTAGTGACGTTCCAGGCAGCTTGATACTCGTTGATCTTAGCACCTGGTTTTCCACCACCCTCTTCAAAACCCCCCTCTTCGGATGATGCATAGAAATCCACACTCTGCATGCTTTGAGTTCTGGAAAATAAAGGAGTAAGGAATAATTTGTATTCCCATTTTGAATTCAACTCGATCAATTTGAATTAGCAGAAACAATAAATGAAAAAAAACCGATGAGTGAAGAAAAGTCGTAACTTTCTTAAGATTTCTTCTAAGAATTCTTCATTATGGCTATGAGTTTGGGTTATTAAAATGGATGTAGAAGTCAGAAACATTCCGATAAGTCCCAAAATTACTAATTTTATGATTTCTTCATTATAAAAAGAGAATTTAAAAACAGTCGTAGTTTTTACTGCTTAAATTTAAAACTTTGGAAACATACCTTGGTGCACCATCTTGTTGTGGGTAAGTGTTCTGATAACTGGTGAAAGAGTCCTCAGCCTGAAGTTCTCCGCTGAGGAACGGGTTAGTTGGATTCGTCGACTGGTAAGTTGGGGATGTGGTCTCATTCATAGTCGATAACTCGCAGCTTTCACCCATGTCTGTGTAAAAAAAAATAATTAGTAGTATTAACAGTTGTCGATATAAAAGTGGCTGATCTGTTTCTATTTAGTTTGATGACGATGAAATGATATAAGCTATTAAACTTGTTCGAGGAAAATTGTGATTAAGACCTAATGTAGTATGAACCAGAATTACGCAATTCAATTGAATTCAAAAAAGGTACGGGATTTTAAGTCACTGCTTTTCCTAAGATATATGGTCTTCAAGAGCGTCGCTGGCTCAGGGGTTAATCACTTGACTTGCAACCTGCAGGTCCGTGTTTCGAATCCCGCCTTGTACCAATGTGTTTTTCGATTTTCGATTTACATATGTACATTTATTCCGACGTTCTTACGGTGAAGGAAAACATCGTGATGCAACCTGCACATATCTGAGAAGAAATTAAAAGATATGTGTGAAGTCAGCCAATCCGCACTTGTCCAGCGTGGTTGACTATGGCCTAATCACCCTTAACTTAGGGTAGGCTTCGAGCTCCTCGGTGGGGACGTGTGATGATGATGATGGTCTTCAATAAGTTTTAGTAAGATTTTGAAATTAAGCCTTTTCAGAAACTGACTACAAAGTTACATACATAGTTTTGCATAGTTTTACATACCAAGGTTTGCAAATCTGACATTCTGAGGGGGCCGCGAGGATTGTCCCGGCTTGTCAGGAATCTGCTGCCTTACTGTCTGCATCGCCACGTCCAGAACGTTTTTCAAAGGAGGCATCTTAATACGGCCTAGATTCATCATCTTTGCCACTTTTGTTACCGCGATATACTTTAAATATATATTTTTCAATAAGAATATATAAAACTCCACTGAATTTTCTTATATTTTATAAATTGACTTTTGGAAGACGTCGATTTAATACTAACATTAATTATAACAATAATTTAAATCTAATTTGGAAGACTTCTTTTCACTATCACCTTTAAATTTATGTTACATTTTAAATTGGCTTTTCGATGACAGCCATTTTGATTTTAATATCATTCCCCGATTCTCGGATCTTTATTTTATTGCACTGATGCCAATTTTTGGCTTTTTTTAGAAGTTTTATTGGATTTTAACCATTTTAAAATGGTTTTTTCTTATGAGAGATGCTCTCTGTGAGGTGTATCGGTTTTGTGGGAGGACCCCAAAGGTCTGCGGCGCGGAAAATCTGCGCGGAGAATGGATCGATAGTGTGGAACGAATACTCTTTCTTGGCACAACTCGACCCGTAACAATAATATATAGGTTATTTGTTATTACGATGTCAATTTTACGCTACGATATACAATTGAACAAGTTCAACGTTAATTCTACCTTTTCTGTTCGATAGATGAATGAGTTTTGTCGAATAAATGATACATTTTTAATTTATATTATGTTTTTGGAACTTATTTACTTACTATAGGCGTCTATCGTCTAAGCCTTTTTAATGTACAGTCAGCTACATAAATATGCATACATTATGTTTTCTTTATAGGCGAAGGAAGGAAACGAGCAACGGATCGCTTAAAATGATTTAATCCAACGTATTCACTAATTGGTCAATAACATGAAATCATAAACGGAAGCATACGGATTGGTATATTATACGTATTTAAGTAGCTAACTGTACAGCTAGAGCAAAAAAATGTCCCCCAATATATATATAAATAATAAATAATAATATAAATAATATTTTCTGGCTGTACAATAATTATCATTAAATGTCGTGTCTATTCGGGATATTTGTATATTTTAAAAGAATTGTTGTATATATTAAGAGCGTCGGTGGCTCACGGGTCAAGCACTTGACTTGCCATATGCAGGTCCTGGGTTCGAATCCCGCCATATACCAATGTGTTTTTCTATTACCGGTTTACATATGTACATTTATCCGACGTTCTTACGGTGAAGGAAAACATCGTGACGCAACCTGCACATATCTGAGAAGAAATTCAAAGATATGTGTAAAGTCAACCAACCCGCACTTGGCCAGCGTGGTTGACTATGGCCTAATCATCCTTAACTTAGGGTAGGCTCCGGGCTCCCCGGTGGGGACGTATAGTGCTAGCTGATGATTTTGATCTTGTAGTATATTTGATTTTCAATATTGAATTTGTGCTTTTAGATTCAATTAACGTATTCCAATTAAAAGTAATTGATCGTTAACACTTTTGTTTTTTATATAATGTTTATGTATTTCCTATGTATTGCCGACAATGGTTGTGCGTAGCGTCGTTTGGATTTTAAGTTTTTTATTTATACATATCTTTTATAAATCGGTAAGAATTTTAATGGTATAAGATTATTAAGAGTGGAAATATTCGGTTTGCGTTAGAACCGTCCTAAAGTTTAATTTAATATACATAGTGCATTCTACATATATCGTAATTGTTTGCTAAAACACTCTTTATTTATTACTTATTATTCAAATTACAAAACTAACCGTGAGTTTTTGAGACCAAAATTCCGTTTAAAACATATTGTTATCTCTGTTTTATACAGAGATTTTGGTCTCTGAAACCAAAGATTCGATGTAAAAATTGTTGTTCTCAAACGAATAATTGTTCTTTTTACTTTCATCATCATCAGGTCGCTATACGTCCCCTCCGAGTCTGGAGCCTACCCTAAGTTATGGGTGATTAGGCCATAGTCAACTACGCTGGACAAGTGCGGGCTGGTTGACTTCACACATATCTTTTGAATTTCTTCTCAGATATGCGCAGGTTGCATCACGATGTTTTCCTTTACCGTAAGAACGTCGGATAGATGTACATATGTAAATCGGAAACCGAAAAACACATTGGTACATGGCGGAATACGATCCCAGGACCTGCAGATTGCAAGTCAAGTCTTTGTCCCCTGAGCCACCGACGCTCTCTACTTTTATAGTAACATTTATATTTTTTTACATTTATTTTGTTTTTAGTACGCATACAATGTTAGAAATCACCCGTGTTGTCAAGAGCCAAGTGAGAACCTCACTTTGGGGATGATTATCGATGCTTACGAAATCTATGGCCATGATCCTACAGATAAGCTGGACTTCCTCGTACATTACCAGATAGAAATGATGAAGATTAAACGCGCACGTGATCAGGTCAGTTTTTTTTATCGGATAAGGAGGCAAATGTGTAACGAATCGCCAAAAATTAAGTTGGAGCAATGAATTCCCAAAAAGAACAGACCCGTTTGAAAATTTTGCCGGTGTGGTTGGTGGGTGATTTATTCCTTCTTTAATTATAATAAGTTTAGCTTTATTTCTCGTTTGTGTAGAACCCATTCGGGCTAGGAGACTTATTCATAGGTTTCTAGATTAATTAGGGCTTCATTTGTTTAAGTTTGAGGATAGACATGTCATGTATTTTTATTTTATTTTACAGTATTTCATCAATGAATACATTCACATCGCTACTGACCACTTGGGCAGGTTTATTACTCTACATATTAAGGAATTAAAGGTAAGAAGTTATCACAGAGCGTACCAGTTCCTATATAACTTTCTATTCATTTACCGTGGGTTTCTGAGCCGATAATCCCCGTTTAAAACGTATCGTTATCTCTGTTTTGTCAACGTAAATGATAGGGATGACGATAGGTTTTATACAGAGATTTTTGTCCTAAAAAGAAACGCTAAATAGTAGAATCGTTTCTTTTTTTATATAAAAGAAGAGTGCAAACGAGCAGCGGGAACACCCACCCATAGACCATAGTTTTATTAGACCTAGTGATAAAAATGGGCTATGGATTGATTCGTGTTGTGTTTTGTTGTAGGTATTACTGATAGCTCTTGAGGACGCAATAGACAATATGTTAACAATGTATGATAACCATAACGCTATTAAATCGGAGAGGGTGGCCACATATAACACGGGATCCGGTGGCGCGGTGCCTACCGAGTTTTATTTGAGTCAAGGTAACATAGAATTAGTTCAGTAACAGCCGCACGAGATGCGTGAAATGGTTACCAAAGTCTTTTAGTGTAAATTTCCTTTACTAAATCTTCACTAAGGAAGGCGTTTAGTAGCTAATTAATAGTTAATTGTAGTAGTAATTTAAATCGCAACTAAAAGTAGCTTATGTTTACATGTTTAACTACATTTTGTGCGACTCTGTCCGTACGAAATTGAAAAAAAGCTTTGTATGTAGTCTATGTATTCTTCCAGACATCATCCGTTCAGCCGTTCTGGAGATAACTTCCAATTCGCATTTATAATATTAGTAAGATGTTAAATAAATACACAGGCGATAAATGGGACATATATAATCATTTTATAACCATTAATATAATATTAATAACTATCTATCCCAAGGCTTAAATTAATCGCTAATAACTTGATTGTGACAGAAGACCATAATGTAATGACATTTGTTTAGCTTATAAAGTACGTGGTAATTTCAGAGTTCTATTGTGGTAAAAACGTTTATCTATTCGTATCGGAGTTGTACAGTGATATTTACAATATGGGCCGAGGTCCTGCGCCATATTGTAAAAGTCGGGGCTTCCATTTCCTCGGCTTTGTCCATTATATGGATGAAAACAGATATTTCTTAGAAGAAGACCCGAATATTGTATTCCAAATGGACAATTATATTCACGGTTTAGAATGTCATTTGGGTATGTGTATATTTAGGTGAGTTCTGTTCTTTATTACTTAATCTATCCTATCATTACTACTTAAAACATACTTATATGTACACTTTGATTACAAATCGAATAAGAATACTAATCCATAGAAGCCTTACGAAATGGTTCTGACAAGATCTCAATGAATGGCCAGTAGCGTCGTTATGGTAGAACGAGATGGAGCGCCAAGGGCGCCGGGCTTAAGGTGGCGCCCTAGACGCTACAGTTACAACTACAACGCTCCCTAAGATACCCCACCCCAGCTTTGGAGAATTTTCCCATCGATACTAACAAAAAAAGGGGGCGCCCCAATAATCTCCCCTAGGGCGTTGAAAATACTAAAACCGGCCCTGATGATGGCTTTAAAGAACACCAAAAGGAGAAGTCGTTCTATGTATCATAGGTGATTACAGCCACTAAAACGCTAAATTATTCCCATCAGAGGCTCGATTTCCTTAAAGGATAAGCAAAAGAAAAGAAAAGCACTCCTAGGATAATTTATTTTATTATTAAATTATCCTCTTTAGATTTCCTTTTAAAAAGAATCTGCAGCACGTCAGAGACGTGTCGACGCTACCGAAGGCGATTGTCAAATGCGGCACTGACATGTACAAGCTTCCCCCACTCACCGCCGCATCGTGCGTCATCACATCCGGTTCCTTTATACTTGACTTCAATATACAAGGAATACGGTTCCGGCATTACGATTATTTATTGGTAATAAACATAATTATGAATTTGGAGGGTATCTAATATGGAAAAAATCGAAAACCTATTTTTTTAAAGTCTCTCTGCAAGGTTGCATTTGTTCCGGGTAATCTCCGGAAAATCTTTACCGATTGTGATGGGACTTGAACTGAAAGGTAGCTGATGTACACATATTATAGGCTACTTTTTTATAAATTCTGCGCTGACAAGGTCGCGAGCAACAGCTATTATTGAATCAATTTAACCCCATCTCACGTTTTTGGCGAAGCAATTTAGTTATGTTGGTCACAATAGAATTAATGTAAAAATACCCGCATTCAACTCTATCTACTTTAAGTACTTGAACAGCTGAATAAGTTAATCTAAGTCAGGTTTAGATTATTTCAATAGTATTTATATTTTCATCTTATGTTAACCGTTTCAAATGTTTTAATTCCAGATAATGCCCAACGGACATACATATTACACTAAAGAGAAGTTTTCTCCATTAGTCTGTGACCATCATGTCTGTGAGTGGAACAATACAAACTTCTATGGAGGTAGGTATTTCAAAAGTAATTGGCTAATTAGCGTATTCACTCGATGAAAACATAGATTGTCCATTTAAAAATATAAACTACAAGTAAAGTCATTGTAGTATTCGTTGCGGTATATTTGGCTCGTTCACGTACCGACACGTGTTACCGGTCCAAAGGTCTGACATCGACTGACGCCCCCTCTCCCCTGCATGTACTTATTACGTGTACGGTTGAGACAAACAACACTACATTTATGCATACACTACACTAATTAAACCTTAAAGTTTGTTTGACTAATTCACAATTTAATAAGTATTATAAATTGATAGAATAGCTTTCTAGGACTAGCAAGTAGTTTCTTTACTAGGACTTAAAAGCAATTGTATTTAATTTAAATTGACCTTTTTAAAATTTCAGGTCCATTCATAATCCCCGGTGACCCGGGCACCGGCCTGTCCCCTATTCCACCTTTCATCGAGCAAACGACGGAATACTTTCAACAGACCACAACAACTCCTAATGAATTCAATCCAAATATAACATGTAAGCATTTCATACTTTTAATATTTCACGATTGGTATAACGGGTTTCCACTGTCTAAACACGTGTATGAAAACATGTTCTCACCATCCTTATCGGCGGCAGAAGTGCTAAGCAAAGAGCTATTGATTCCTATGTTAATACAATGAATTCGTCGAAATAGCGAAGCGACTGCTGCTCATAGTCGTTCGCAATTGCAAAATCATTGCCTACCTTTAATCCACAAAAAGGATATTTCCTCTTCCTAAGCGATGAGTTCACCCATTCCTTATAAGAAAAGGGTGGAAAGGCAATGGGAACAAAAATCACGCCTCTGCCACGCACACTTATCAGACTATATTTGGGATTTCTTCCACTTTAGGTGTGTTTTCTGTCTGGTCGTGGTCGTATTGCACCGGGCGTCGCACATTCTTGCAACCGATGTTGTTGATGGCGTCTACCACTGTTAACTCGTTTCAGACACATTGGATGGTTGTTGGTTCATGTTTCCACCTAACTATGGCTCGATCGCCGGCATCAGTTACCTCGACCCGCTCTCTATAAATGAATATCGCTACACATGCCAAGGTGCTGGGACTAATAAGGTAAGATTTAAACCCCCTTTTAAGGGTCTATACCCCCTTTTTGGCAAAGTCGTCATCAGCTCATTCTCTACCGAGAGTCTCAGAGCGTATCCCATTTAGTTGTGACTAGGCTATAGTTAATGCTGGCCCAGTGCGGGTTGACTTCACACATATCTTTAAATTTCTTTGCAGATATGTGTCGTAAATATACATATTTAACAGAAGTTAAGCGTTTAACAACTGCGCCACCGAAGCTCTTTTAGCAACGTAGCAACTTAAAACCACACATTTTAAACCAGCATTTCCTTTAATTATTGAGGACTTATGAGACTTTATTTTAAATTATATATAAAAACGGTAGACTAGTTTCAGACCCATCTGACCAGGGCTTACAAACCAATGGTACGCGATACAATGATTTGCACAACTAGCAATTTCTAGCACCTTATATTTTTTTATAATTCCCCAGGGTCTGTACTGGTATCCGCAATGGATGGGCGCACCACCACACCATCCATACCCACAATCAGATGACGCGCCGGCAGACATGCCTCAAGGCATCGCTGGCTCGTACTACCCGCATTTACAACACGTACCACCAAATATTCCAGTCTAATAAAATGTTAAAAACCGTCCTGAGTATTTTAAAGGTTAACCTTAAAAGGTACTAGTGGACACCAACGTAAGTATGCGTTCCTTCTTTATTTCTAAGTGAAGATTTATAATAGTATACTGTGCTTTTTGGCATAAGCTGTCTGTTAGTCGTAAAAACAAAATTAAATTACTAGCCTATGTGTTCTTCCAGACTATGTTCTACATCTATGCCAAATTTCAGCGAGATCCATACAGCGGTTACGAAGATATCTTCTAACATCCATCCATGTAAATATTCGCATTTATAATATTAGTAAGATTTAGGATCACCTGTGAAGGATAAACAGTAAAATATATGGATGTGTTCCTTATAATCTCTAATATAATAAATTATTTATTTTGAAGTTATTAATCATATCTAAATGGTATACGCAATGTAAATTAATAAATAGTCTATTTAACCTTATGATAGATTTTGAAAAAACTTCGGAAGAATGTAACCCGAGGGTCTTGTGCTCTATGAGAGAGAGAGAGGTGTCCTAAAAACTCCAAAAAAGTCGTTACTTAATTTTTTTGGATTTTTAAAGTTAAACAGATATCTATCTAAAAATTTGCATTTATAATATTAGTAAGAAGTAAGATTATTATGCGTCATAATTCTCTGTGGCCACAAAAATGCTGTCCTTTGAAAAATAGGGATTAAAAAAAATATATATACAATTTTTATTAACTTTAATTGATATTCTTAATAAACATAATTTACAAAAAAAAACAACAAAATCGATGTCAACTCAATACGTCCAAGTTGAAAAGTGTAAAACTAAATAATTTCATACAGAGAAAAAAAGTACAATCGCGTACAAAACTGTCTTATATACGAAAATTAAAAAAAAAACGAAAGAAGTACGCATTTTAAGTGACTTATCACTAAAATAATCACCAAACTATTGCACGGTACAAACAATTTTTATTAAAAAAAATGCATTGTTAAGCGAAGATTTATCAATTTCCTATAACTTTAATACTAAATATGTAATAAGCCAACTAAAACTGTTTCTATATATTAATCTACACCTTAACATTTACCAAACAAACATTATAAAATTGGATATCACACTTTATTATGATACTACCCGTGCACAATAACATGATACCTGAATGTATGACGTCATAGCAACGTGAAGTATACAAAAAGCTTACATCTTGAAGAAATTTTAATATAAACATTTCGTTCCATATACTATAAAGCAAGCGAGAAATACAAAGGCTAACTACTAGACTTATACCATGCATTTCTAAGACCAAAACCTCTATATAAACATATCGTCCCTGTAGTGTTGTTTGTCTCGAGCGTACACGCCATAAGTACATACCGGACAGAGGGGACGTCAGTCGATGTCGGACCTTTGGACCGGCAACCCATGTCGGTACGTTAACAAGCCAAATATAACGCAACGAACGCTACAGTCCCTGACAATATTTTTGACAAAACAGAGGTAAGGACATGTTTTAAACGAGGATTTTGGTATTAAAACCCACGGATAGTAGTTAAATTGTTACTTTAGGAGTTCCATATGTTATTGTCCACGCGTAGTTTTTGTATAATAATTCTTATAGATTTACTTAACTAAACAATTACACAAATAACTATGGAAAAATGTTTATAATTATAGTTCTCTCTAAAACACAATATTTTGTAAAATACTTTAAACACGTTAAATTTTATATTAAAAAAAGCCGGTTGAAATAAATATTTTCAAATGTTTAGTAAATTCTTTAAAATATGTTATAATTTTTAATATATATATAAAAAACAAAAAGGTACAGAGTGATATTTCTTAGAATTATTGGAAAGTAAATAAATGCAATATAGAGAAAGGAAATAATATCGAAGTGGTTATTATGACTGAGAATTTTTTTGCAGAACATTTTTTTTTTTTGCAAAATTTTTCAATTTTAATTTTCGTACCGAATTCAAAATAAACTAGAATATATTTTTATTCAATAGATTTTATATTTTAAATATACTTTAAGCCGTTATTTGATTATTAGCTGACTACATTTTGTTAACAGAGGACATATTTTTTACATAAAATTTAATATGAAAAAAAAACCAGGAAACAACCAAATTTTTCTAAACTTTTCTACACAACAGTATTGCCAACAGAGATGTAGTTTAAAAAATATTTTATATTGCCTCATATTAAAAAAAAATAATCAATAAGGAGTAAGGTGACCAAACTTTTTGGTTTATACATAAAATTTGGGCGGAACGTTTGCTACATTTTTTTAAAATTTTAAATACATATGTAGGTATTAAAAAATTTAAACAGGTACTGGGTTAAAAATAAAGTTCATACCTTATATTACATATGTTATTTGCTAAAGAAATGAAAATGGTGATTTAAAAAATATTATAGTAACATATACACTTGATAATTTATAAAAATATGCCAAAACTTTATATATATTTCATATTTTTAGATAAATAAAGAGATCAATACATATTAAGGTATGGATATCAAAGATATATAAAATAGTATATGTAAAAAAAAACTTTTATGCTGACCTTACTATAATTTCTATAACTAATTCATATAACAATTAAATATATTTAAACTTGTCAAATTTAATATAAACTTAATTATTAAATTAGTTTTTGTATACATTTTACGATATAGCTGTAAGCAACTGAAATTAAAAAAAAATATCGTGGGTTTACACTGCGACAACTGTAAAAAAAAATATTTTATATCTGTTTTTTTTTTAAACAGAATGAATGGGATGGCGATATATTTTTCTATAGGCATCGCAGCGGTGGAAATCTACGGTTGAATTTGTTTTTTTGAGAAATTCAGTTAATTATATGGTGAATTAATTTGATTAGGTTAACCAAACCTTTGGATTTATACAGGACAAAAATATAAAAATCTATGACAGTCCTATATTTATGTAAATATTTATTTTTTTTAATTAATATATGGTCGGATTTTGCAGTCAGGCTTTTTGTCCTAATGGTTCGTCTATTTCAAATTCTTTTTCCCAACTTTCATCTGAATTCGCACTCGCGTCATCTTTAATTTCTTTATCACCGAAATAATCTTCCACTAAATTGTTACCGCATTCATCGGATTTTGCTTGTCTTTTAGGTGAACGGCCATTTTTGTTTTTCTTTTCTATCGTATTGTTTAATTCGTCTTTTAATGTTTGCGGTTTATCATTATTATTGACTAAATCTTTTGAAGATGAACGTCTATTTATTTTCTTTTGTGTGATTTCTTTCTCGTATTCTTCTAGAAGTAGGATTTGTTGTTCTTCTGTGAGTTCAACGTCGTGTGGGAATTCTGTAATAAATTATACATAATTTCGTATATATAAAAAGGGGCTAAACACTGACGTATATTCGTCCGTTGGCGGCACCGACTAGTTGCGGGTCCATCGGAGGCCCTTCATCAGGGTGAGTGGCACTGGTATTATTTCGCGGACGCGGCCCTTCGCTCACATGAGGGCCACCGATGGGCTCGAAACTCGGTGCCGCCACCGGACGATTATACGTGAGTGTTTAACCGTTTTTATATAAGTTTATTATAATGTCTCACGAAAGTTTGAAAAATTTAATTTCGTATATTATTAGAAAAAAAATTCCGTTTTTTTATAGTAACAAAAGTTTAAATGTATATTTTGGTATAATTTTATTATCAATTTATTTTTTTATCGGTCACAGCGTAATTTAACACATTGCATGCTACCATGATTTTTTTCGTATGAATTCGCATGGCTAGTGGCAGTGAATGTTGTATGTATTGCCGTCCCTTTCACTCTCTTCGATAAAAAGAGACAACAATATACTATTACTATCATTGCAGTTGACTATGGTACTCACCATCTTCCCATCGTACAATATCCTCGTCTTTTTCATAAGTTTCTTCAAGACCAGAGAGAACTTTCTTCGGACTTCTGGAAAGAAAAATTAAATAATATTTAATTTCTCTTCAAGTCCAACATAAAAATGCTTTCTTTTAAAAGCGTGTGTATTTTGAATATGCTCTAGTGATGCCGCTTAATACAACATACCGGTTATAGCGACCAAAAGCAAAGATGCGGGTAAACGTTATAACTGCCTTATATGTAATGTCAATTTTTTGACTCAATATTATTGCCCTTTGATGTCGTTATAACCGGTTTATATTATAGATTCAATATCATATTAAACAGAAAATGCTATTTAGGATGTAAATGGCTCTATTAAAACTTGTGATGGAAGTTGAAGAGGAATGGGAAAAAGGATTTACGCATTTGGGCATATTGACCATAAAAAAATTGGCGAAAATTATCGTAACATTTCAATTTTATTTGGCATCTTTTGTCTTAATGTGTAAACTCATTTATCATAATAATGAGGTTTTTGATTCATATTTAATTATGGGATAGGCAAGGAATAGGAAAGTAATAAACAATTTCTTAACTAAATAAAACTGTGTGATAAACAAAATAATATTTAATCAAAAAAGACATTACAAAAATATATTTGAGAAAATGAACTAAAATTATAGGCGATACAAGTCTCAAAAACAATAAGAATAAATGGACAATTTTTTCCATTTAATTGTACTTAGTACCCAAAATGCTTATAAAAAGTAATTAGTTACTTTTTTATTGTTTTTTTATATGTCAGAATATATCAGCTGCTTACGATATTATAAAACTAAGATACACAAAGCAAAAGAAACACAAAAAGCTAAATTTAATATACAATGCTTTCAAAAAGCTAAGGCTCTACATGTAATGCCACCGAAATATTTTTTTTTTAATTTTTAGTGGCATTTATAGTGTTAATTTTGACAGATGACATTTACTGTACCATAATATGTACAGTACATTACTTACTCTTGTATTGGAGTTTGTAGAGGTAAATTGGCCAAAACGGGGTCAGTAGTGACCGACTCTATTGGCTGTTTGCGAGAAACAGCGGCCAAACGGTCTTGCAATAACGCCACGCGGAATAGATACCTATTAAAAAAAAGAAATTGTCAAAATAAATCAATGAACATAAAATTTACCCTTCCATCATTAAAAAATGCTACCCTACCTTTCCCAAAAATCATTATAAGATATAGCGTCCGGCACCAACTTTAGGTACTGCTCCTTCAGTATTGGGTTAGCTTCTAACCGTCTGTCCGCCGTGTGCGGCATTATCATTCCCGGCATATCGTTTTCAATACTCTCGCACCAAGCTTTAAACTTTTCGGCATCCACTGGCACAATGTAAGTTGCATCCACACGCTGCAATGCTTCTAGTTCTTTCTAAAAATATCAACTGTGTGTATAAAATCGAAAAATTTATATTTATTGCTAGGAAGAAAATCCGACACTGTGCCGGTGTACTGGCACAACACTAGCCTTACTAAAATGTCGATGTTTATGTCCCCTCACTAATAATTCTGACATTTGACTTTGTAAAGAAAAGCGCGCCCGCGCCAAAGGATTCTAACTAATAATGTCTAAAAGTATGAGTATTTTATCTTCATGACCTTGAACTGGACAACATATTAAAAACACATAAAAAAAACAATCTAATAAGACATCTTTGTATAGGTGAAATTTTAGAAAAACCCACTTGTCACGTCAGGCAGAAGAATATTCTTATTACCGACGTGCCAATTTAAAAGCCGGGTCACATAGTTGTGGATAACGGTTTTAAGTGTGTGGCTGATGATATGTTCAAGAGTGTGGAGGTCAAAGGGTTAAACTAACCTTGTATGTAGACAACATAGTCGTATCTCCTGAAGACAGTATCACCTCGGTATCCTCATCATCATCCGGCTCCGGATTTAAAACAATATTAACTTGCTCTGGAAATACAATTTTTATATCCCTCTTTTTTTTATACATTTTAATAGTTACGCCCCTAAAATACGTTCAACCAAATACCGTTATAACTAAAGTATGTTATTACACCAAATTGCACAAATGTTTTTATTTTGTTTGACGACTGACTCATTCGAAGGTCAAACTTGCAAATAAATGTTGCCCGATATTGCGCAGTGTACCGGTTTATTGAATCGTAACTTTCATAATCAATTCACGATTGGATTTAATTTGAAATATTAAAAATATTTCTAAACGAACATATAGAAAGCGACAGTAGCCTAATATTAGTTACAGATATCCGATTAAGATGTCAAGGGTTCTATTTTATTCGACCATTGTCGTAAAACATAACCTAGCACAAACAACCTAGAGCTTAATGACATGCTACAAAAATAATAACCAAAAATCTCCTAATATTTTAAATAATCAAAAACAATATATGGAACTTTTATTTTGACATTACACACTTCAATGTTATTTTACGTATACAATACTTATATAACGGGATTCACTGTTAGAATAATTTTTAAAGGCGTTGGGTATTTTTTCTTAAGTTATCAGTGCTATTAGTCTAATAAGAATAAAAAATTCCGATTCAAAAAACCGATATCGTAGGTAAAACACTGCACAATAGAGCGGGCAACATTACTCGTTACTTTGACCTTGAATGTGACAATTCGGTCTGAGCTAGAACAGACACTAGTGTTGCTGAATATTTAGATAAGTTTAATTCTTTTTTTAGAATTAGTCATATACACATCATGATAACTTTTCTCTTTTAAAAAAAAATATTTTTTCGGGCGTCATTAGAACATCCTAACGAAGTAACATGAAAATTCATCTAATAGTAAAGGTACACAAAAAGGGTTTGTTTATTTATGAACAAGATAGAAGAGAAAGTTTATAGCATTTTAATAGTTTTTTTTAATCATCATACAATTTTACACATATTATTCGCTCCTCAGATTTTATCTGTGATAAAGGCAGTTTATATTTTGCGTGTTTGTTTATTCTAAGCCAATGAATTAAAAATATTAAAATGACTCACCGATAAATGTACTGAAACTTTTCTTCACAGCATTCGCTGTGGATTCTGGCTCATCAAACTGTTGAAGGAAAATAAACTTTATTTAAAATAGAACTCAATATAATACAGACTACATTTTATATGACAGAAAGAAAATCAACATAAAGAGTGTCACACAAAATCATATCTTATTTATATTATAAATGCAAATGTTTAGATGGATGGATGGAAGCTATCTCCGGAACCAGATCTTTATGAGATTATGCACAGACATAGAATGTTGTCTAGAAGAACGCAGAGGCTAATTGTTTTTTTTTAAATTCTGTGCAGATGGGGCTTCGGGTGACAGCAAGTTTACTGTAATTATTGTAGTGAGATATAAGAGATAACAGTAATCTGAGATTTCTTTATAGCAGACAATGGCAAATGAGAAAATAGTCACCTTATATCAATACATTAGCAATAAACCTCTCTGCTGCCCATAGACATCTTACTAATATTAAAAAAAAGAATGTTTGGATGGATGGATGTTTCTTAGAAAGTATCTCCAGAACCGCTGCATGGATCTTGATGAAATTCGGCATAGACGTAGAACACAGTCTGGAAGGATACTATTCAGTTTTTTAATAGCGTGGAGACGGAGTCGCAGGCAAGAGCTAGTATGCAGATATTATCTACTTCTGACTAGCCTAGTCCAGATTCACTGACTTCATACCTTGCTTTTGAAATAAGGAAGGCATATTGTGGAGGGCTTTGGGGAAGGCCTATGTCCAATAGGCAGATGAACAATCAGAGTCTATGTAGATTTCGCAATGTTTTCCTCCACTGTTAATTATCAACATACCTTGAAAGTCTTGCCCAATGCATTAGAGGTGGTACTGAAGACATGACTCGCCTCACATTTAACTGCTGTTCCAATCTCATCTAAATCTTTCTTCACCATAGAGTACACTTCCGCTGACTAGAACAAAAGATTTTAACCTTAGCAAGTGACTACTAAGTCGATGTTAATACTACCATTCAAAATCTTTTTAGTATGATAGAGTGAACAATATGTATGAGACTCATAGAATACAGTCACTGTTGGTTTCTGAGATGAAAATCTCAGTATAAAACATATCATCACTCCTTTCATAATCTTTGACGAAATGCAGACAACAATGATTTTTAAATTTTTGTGTTTGGGTCTCGGAAACCCACAGTCAGGGATACTGACATATCAGGCAACTTGACTTATGTAGAATAAATTGTAGCACTGAATATGTTAATAGAGAATAACTTTCTAGTTTGCTTTATTTAATAAAACATTAACTATGAATGTGTTTATGTATACTTTCTGTGAATTAAACTCTCATCTGTACATGCAATGCATATCTCCTTATGTTGTATGTTTCTATTCAATTTAATTAATTAATAAATTAGATTATCTGTACCTTTGTTTTGGCCGACGACAGCCATGTATCCCACCAGTTGCCGGAAGGTTTGTCATCTTGTTTTGGTGTACTTGTTGACTCTTCGGGACTGCTTTCTGATCTAAATAAAGTGCTTAAAACTTACATACATCAATTTTTAAGCCTAGTAATAAACTTTATATACAAGACAGATAAATAAGTTCAGTGACACCAACATACATAACAATACAAACTTGGAAATTATAATATAGAAGACAATTCTGTATTATAATTTCCAAGAATATTTTGTCAACATCTATATATTCAATTTAAATGATAATTAAATCCACTTTATAAAGTAATTTAATTTACCTTGAAAAGTAGATTAGGTATGCTACCTTGGATTGGTTATTAAAATGTATTCATACTAACAAAACTAAGCCATTTCTTTAAAATGTTATATAAATTTGTTACCTTTCAATGGTATTATAATATCACAAAACGATTTACAAGTACTTCTCTCCTAAATATCGTAATTTATAATGAAAGAAATACAAAACATTGATGTCTGTTAAGTTTCTAGAATAGCTTAAACTAACAGTACTTAGATTATTATATTTCGACGCAAATAAGAACTGGTTTCCAATCAGTTATATGATTTATTATCAAGTATTATTATTTATTTATGTAACTGTATATTTCATGGCATATTAACATCAACATATACAAAACAAAGATAAAAGATAACAACTTACTTTTCAGCCATCACGTTAGTTTCACTCTCAGGAAATTAATAGAATTAGAATATGGATTTTTGCACATAAAGAAATGCGTGAATATTTTTGTTATTACACGAGATTTACAATTAATTTCGACTTGACATGATTTAGTTTTGTTTGCGTTGACATAAGGTTTATTCTCATTTGCATTTATGTGCACAGATAATTAAATGTCTGTTTTCTTGGACAAGCCTACAGTGTTATTTATTATTTGATAGTTTAATAAATTATTCTAATAAAAATTCCCATTTTCTGTTCAAAAAAACGTATTCTCTCTCTAAGTAATAAAATAGGCTTAAATATTACAAATGTGCATAAATATTATAAAATGTTATATACGTATAATGAAACGGTGACGTTAATACAATCTTTTTTTTAATGTTACGATGATCCTTATCATCAAAAATCAATAACAAGAACCCTTGTTCTTGTTATTGATTTTTCATTTAATCGACCACTTTTACGATGTATTATTAATCTACACAGCATTAAGTTGTATTCCATAATTAATATCCTAGGTGCAGCATCGAGAAAAAAGATGTACAGATGTTTTTATTGTTGCCATTCGGATGTTTGAAATGCAAGATATGAGGTTTAAGATTTTTGAAATCTTCGTAATAAATAAGAACATCTATACTATTATACTACTAATACTTTCTAAAAGGTATATTTCTAAAAAAACATACTACTTTGATTCCCTCTCTAGCATATTCAACTAATGTTATCCTGAACTGACATTTCTTATTAAATATTTTTTTTATCTATTTCTATTTGAAAAATGGAACGTTGTACTTAAGGCTTAAGGTGGGTAGGATATTTTAGTTTAAAATGCCGGAAGTGCATAGTAACTGTGAAAAATGTTTTTTTTTTGGAAAATGGAAACCATTTAAAGTTCTTGTATTTTTAATAACTCGAGTTATATATTATATTAAAAAGTGTAATTAATTTGGGGATAATTTAAAAAGTGAAATATAATATTTTAGTTATTATTTAGTTTTTACATCATCAATGTACCCATTATTTTGATGTTAAACTTTCTTTTTCTAGTATTTTCTTATCAGTTTCCAATACTTGACTGTGCAAAATTTAGATTAGATTGAATCAAGTGTGTTTTCTTTTTGCTAATTAAACAATTAGTTGTCTATAATGTGAAATAACGCAGGAGATGTTATCAGATAGAAAAATCGACTGAAACACTCTTCAGAAAGGAAGGTAAGATTTTCAAGAATTTTTAAATATCAAATGGTAAATGCATTTTTTATACCGCAAACTATTAAATTGATAAAAACTTAATTGCTTTTTAATAAACAGCAACATATTGTAATTTATTGCTATAGAAACACTTCCATTTCATAAACAAAATAACTCGATATTTTATTTGTCGCTGAAAATGTTTCGAAGATGCAAATGGCGATTGATTGTAGAAAGCCTAAATACGTGTTTTAAAACGTATTTGAAGCGCCAATAGCTTAATAAGGCATGGATAACCGATCATGCAGTCAAAGATTCGAATCCTATAGACTTTTGCAAAATATATCGTGTAAGAGTAAGTAACAATTAGTAAACGCTTCAGCTCTACGAGCGCCCTGGTTGAGATTTCTACGACGGCCCATCATGACGATGGTGGGTGGTTATAGTAGGGTTTTGTGAGATTGTGTAATTCGTAGACTTGGGCCGCCCCTTTCTGTCTTGCGCCCTGGGCAGACTTAACCGAACGCCGACCCTGATTAAATTGTGTCAATTTTCATAATAAAATACCTTATAAAGTTTTCATATTAATATTTTAAACAGTATTATCTTTTTTGAATATCATTTACACATGTATAGAAAAACGTAAAAAACATATAGGTAATTATTTTAACGTATGTATTTTATTAATATGCGTTGGCGGTTTTCTTGCTTGTTGATTATTCAATAATGCATTGAAGTTGTTATTTTTGAAAATAAATCGTGTAGCTAAGCTAAGGTTCAAAGATGTTTGCACAAAGATATAGTTATAGGAGTACGGTGTTTGTTTTAAATGTATACCCAGCGAATTGGGTGCGGTTGATTTTAAACGAGTTCTTATGAAATTATAAAATAAAGTTAAAAGAATATGATTATTAAAAATACATTTTGCGTTTGTTCTTTGACAAAATATTGTTTCTTAAAAAAAAAAAAGATATTATTCTTTTTAATCTATGCACAGATAACACAACATTCTTTATTTTAGTGCATGTTTTTAAATTAATCTAGATTTATCTAACTTAAACAGATAATATAAATTATTGTAAATATCTTGAATTATTTTTAATTAATTATACTAAGAATTATCTTTTAAGTTAGATATAATAAAATATATTTCTTTTTATGGAATAATTTTGTGATCTGTGTGGAGGGTTGTACAGGAATCCGAGCACTCCCATAATGTTAGTTTTTGATCAGATTTGACGTGCCTTTCTTCATGTTATTAATAAGAGTTCGCGAGGCATGCTTGAACGGCATTGACGTGTACAGGCTGATGAGAAATGAATGCTGTAATAATTACCATAATTTGACATTTTTATTTGTCTTGTATACAATAAGTTTGTAAAATCGAAACTCGTATGAAAACATGTTGAAATTTTATTTACTTTATGAAAAATCTTCAAAATAATTGATCATATAATATAAAATAGGAATTTAAATGGTAAATTCATAGTTATCATGGCGATGGTTGAACCAAATACTAAATTCTCATGAGTTCAAAACTGCCGTGACTTACGAATAATATAATCATATTGTTTAAGTGTTCATTAAATTAATTAAATGAGAAACATACTGTATACTAAAATCTGAATGGATAATCCTCGGTGCATAAATAATAATACGGCGAGTGATCGACGCGGGCCTTCAAAGTTCATCGCTCAATCAGCGAGTGCCCGCGGCTGTGACGTCACGCGCGTGACGCGTCCCGCCCGCCAAGAGATGGCGCTGGACGATCGACAATGTTTACTAAAGCGATGTGTGTGGTAAAAATTAATAAATTAATTTAAATTATTTCTTCTCTACTTACTAAAATATATCGTTTAGTTCCGTTGAACAAAGATTTAGTCGTTTATGTGATATTTATCATGTACTTTGTAAGTTTGCTTGAACTTTGCTTACAAAGACGTGGCAATTAGTCATGAAAGTTGGGTTTTAGTTTAGATTTAGTAAGAGAAATGCACATTAATTAACGCTTAGATAAGTATTTTAAGTCTGTGGTCGCGGTAGTAAAAAATGTGAGTTCTTTAGTATAACTTTTGCATAAACATGAAACGTCAATGTTTTATTTATGTTACTAATATTATAAATGCGAATGATTGGATGGACGAATGGATGGATATTTGTTAGAAGGTACCTTTGAATCGGTTGTATGGATCTCGCTGTAATTTGTCATAGATGTAGAATGTAGTTTGAAAGTACACATAGGTTACTAATTATTTTTTTAAATTTCGCTCGGACGGAGTCGCGGGCGACAGTCAGTGATAACGTAAAATGAATAAAATGATGGATATAATAGAATAGTTAACTAAATAGTATATCTAGCATCAGCTCGAAGGGATTTGCTTGCGAAATGTAGTGCTCAATGTTTATTGTATAGTAATATTGAACAGACATGATTGTTTCACTGCCTGATCGTTTTATCGATTGGTAGGAAAAATCGTGCTTACGAGGCTAAAGGGAGTATATTTAAAATTATTGTAGGACAAATCCTAATCGTTTATTTTTCTTAAATAAAACTTATAAGTCTTGTAGGCGAAGGTCGTTAAGCATTAGCATTGATAAATATTTTGTGCAATAGATGGCGCTAGTTGTCTTATTGTAATGACTATTGAACTTTGGTGTGGTTTGACAAGATGGGATAAAGTTAACAATGTGAATATTAGAGGAAGTTTGAAAGTAGCGCCTGTGTAGCGTAGTATGGACATATGCGGAGAGATTGAATGTTAATCCTACAAATATAGAAGACCCGAAGAAAATATGGATGGATTGTGTGAATGAGATTAAGCGTCTGAGGTAAATTCAGATATGACGTCTGATAGAGATGTATGGAGGAGTATTACTGTGCCCCGTAAGGACAAGGGCATGATAAGGATCCAACTGACTTCATAGTCATTGTTTATGACCTAAACTTCCTTTTACCAAGTTAGGTATTCAATTGGTATTTTTTTGTTTTTTAAGTAATACATTGTGTTATTTTTGTCCCGTTATTTTTTTACAAAGTATGGTGTTCGTAGCGCACGTGGGCGCAACGTGGGTGCGTTCTCTCATCTCCGTTGTGCACATTAAATTTGATTGTGCCCACAACCTGCGCATTCCCATACATTTAGTAATAAATAATTTCTTACTCGCTAATTCTGTTAGCGATTTAAATTTATCTTTTTATCTTAAATGTTAACGATGTTACGTCATTATTGGATTATGCAATTACCTAGTTTTGAGGTTAGGTTCGTAGGCAGAAGAGCGTAGATATAAAATATTCTTAGGATATTTAGTTTCCAATTTTTTTTTCTTTAATTTGCATCTTTGTCGAAGGTCCGTTGTCGATAATTGTTATCATTAATATTATATTTATATTATTTAGTATATTTGTCAGTTTCAACAATTTTCAACTCTGTCCATAAAATTTAAAAAGTACATATTAATGATACGGATCCTTAAAAATAAATAAGGTAAGTAAAGTCTTGGTTGTCATCTGCTTGTACCAGGATCGCAAAGGCTCGGCGGCGGCGCGGTGGCAAAGAATGTCCGCCGAGGATTTATGTGTGCGCGCTCACTCGTTGACAAGTGCACAACTGTGCCACTACCTCTCTACGCGCTATGTTGCCCTGGTACTTTGGAATGGTTGACAATATATTTTTTTTACTACATTTTTAAACGCAATACATAAATCAAAACAATTGACACGCGTACAATTAATTTTTACTTACTAAATTTTAAACAAAAGAAATATAATTTTTAGGCGACTTTTGAATTAAAACAAAAATAAATTCTCACAAAAACCTTTCCTATCGAATTATCTTTTTTCAACACCTTTTGTGACGATTTACAACTATTTTTTCACAATTTATTTATTTCTTTCAGGGAGTTTAAGAAGTCCACAATTTACAAGGTAAGTCTTTTAACGTCATTAT